TAAATATTTTATTCAGCTTCATTATCACAGTTTGATGTACTTTAGCATGTTATACACATGACTTAACATGTGCACTTAGAAGTATCAAATTAGAGGTTTTTGAGTAAAGTATGACATTCTATAAATGTGCTTACTGATTTAACTACATACAACTAAGAAGGCAGTAGCTCTGTTATACCATTGATGGAGATGAACTATTGTAAGGCATGTTTACAACAAACTTTGGAGAGAATAAAACTATATACTAGGTCAAAATTCAGTGGAAATACATGTGAGAATAGAAGCTGAAGGATTGGGCTCCAAGAAAAAAGATCACAGCAAATCAGTTGTGTTGAAATTGTCAACAGATACTGGTTATTAAAAGCAAACACTGCTGAGAAAGCATCCAGGTCAGCAGGATCTGTGTTTTTTTCAGATGTGATTTTTGAAACTCACACCTTATGCTGTGTAATGTGAAGAAAAGATACCAAAATCTAGCAAGGAAGTTGGAAAACTATTGTCTGAAAAACTTCAAAGTTGTTTAATGAGCAAACACGGGAACACTTTAGTACAGAGTACATGCTGAAAGTCATTGCACTCCGCTGTGTGCATGTGCAGACACAAGCATGTACATGCCTCTTCTGCTTTTGCTGCCCTCAAAAAACTCCAACCACTGATTGGAGTATAGCAGTACTGAGGTGCAAACAAGATTTCAGCTTGGAGCTGAAAAGAGCAGACGAGCATTACATTTGGGAGCCCACTCAGTTTTCCTGAACAGATGTGGTTTTTCCAGTGGAGTACAGCTCAGGTCTGCTGGTAAATGCTAAACAGCCAAGATTCAGAAACTACAGTATAATTCTTCGGAAGAACTCCACAAATGTTAAGCTATTTGCAGTAGTTTTTAAAATTCCACCTCAATGAAAGCCTAGGTCATGATGACATGCTTCCCCCAGGAATATCATGCAAGCCCAAGCTTAAATCTAAGAGCACAGTGGTCCGTGATCGGGGCTCCCACACTGTCACAGTGCCAACAACAACGCTGTCCCTTAAGGAAGAAGGGTTTCCAGCCCAAGCCTAGCTGTGTTGCTGAGTGGAGACCTCATGTCAAGTCCTCCTAGATTTCTGCCATCAAAGAATTAGCGGGGAATGTGAAAGAGACATTCTTCTTATAAGCGTCTTCAAAGTTGTCAATTCAGTGCAGAATACTGAGTATATAAATGACTATAGTAGTACTTAGGTGAGACCATAAACCTCATTGTGCCCTTTTCTTGGGGAATTCAGGGGAGGAGGCAAGTAACCCTTTCACAGCCTAAATATGTACTTTTTCATGGCACTCAGTGTCCTGAAGGGCCTCAGCATCCTGGCAGCTGTAGTTGAGAGTTCAAAAATATGTACAAGGTAGGGAGAATGCCATGAGTGCTGCAAAACATGGCAAAGGAGCTCTACAACCTACCAAACAAGCACAGTAAACAAACAGCATCTAATGGATAATGTAGGGTACACAAGACCCAAGTTGCACAGTTATGTTTCCTTGCAAAATCAGGACTGTGAATGTAAACTCTAGAAGTTGTTTCAAGAGCAGCACGTGGCTTACTCGACACCTCTGGAAACATCACAAGTCCACCACCCCTCGCGCACTGCATCTTCTGCTCCTACAGAAACTGATCTCACTGAACCAAACAGAGCTAGTGGGTCCTGCAAGCCATATGACTGTGGCAGAGGTTAAACAAAAATGCTCCAGCAACACAGTTTGGCTACCACTGTATATTCATTCAGCCTTTATGGTGTCTGCGCTACATAAATGTTGCTCTTGGAAAATAAAGCACACAGTGATATACAAATGGTATCAATGGCCAAAAAAGATTACATGATCAAGCCTGAAAGCAAATGGAAGTTAACAAAAGTAGTCTTTTAGGAGAGGTAGCCATATTAGACTCAGCATTCAAAAAAAAGGGAGTGCACTCAAAAGGGTCAACATACATTATAGTGTCTTGTAGACCCATCATGTTTCTGGTTTCCTACATAATTTTTTTTTGCAGAATGTACACACCCAGGCACACACAGGTGCACACACACACACACACACACTCATACCCCCCCCCCCCCATATATACACATCCAAATTCTTTTCTAATTCCCCTTTGTTGCCATAATGTTGCTATACTGAGAATAAAGGACAGCTTTCCATGCTCTTAGTTGCCCCATGTCTATAACTTGCTTTCAGTTGGTTCAGTATCTGTACAGTAGCTAAACAGGCAGTGGAAATTAAAATTCCTTCAATTAATATCCTGTTGCAAAAGACAGCATCCAAACTATAAGGCATTCCTTTGTACTGACATTACTTACAACTCTCTACTTGATACAAATTACAGAATGCTCTTCAGCCTTGTGCTACAAAGGCAGCTTTCACCCAAATAATAAAGACCAAAGCTGGAATTTAAACACCACAAATCCACACACTTCTACCAGTCCCTTGTTCTTGTGCCCTTTTCCAACAACGCTTATCACTTTAATTTCAAAAGTCATGCACCAATGCTATAAAATAGAAACCCAAACTACCAAGAAATCTCTTGCTCCTGACTTTGGGATACTGTATTAGTATAAAAGAGCATTCAGAGAGCTTAAATAAATATATTCTTTTCTGAAATCACAGCACATTCAAGGGGTACTTACTGCCAAAAGCAGAGCATTAAGTAATCTCCATAGATGTTTTCAGAATAATTTAGTCAGAAAAGACCTGTAAGATACGAAGTTTTGATTGATTTGGTCTAATACCTGGAAAATAGCCTACTGTGGGGATAAGAATCTGCATCTCAAATGTTCTGCAGAACATATTTCCCATATTTGTATACAGTACTAGAACAATTAAGAAGACATTACAGTAATTTTCTCCCAGCTTCTTAGATCTGTAGCTTCGGCTATGACAATGCATTTTGTATGCCTCAGAACTATGAAATATCGAAGATGACTAAATAAATAAAAGCCAAGGAAAACTGGGACAGTACTGCATTTTACACTTGAGACAAGATTCCCCCCTCCCATGGATAAGTCATAGAGGACAACTACAGTAAATGCTTGTCTTTTTTTTTCAAAGAAAGATTTATACACAGGTTCAGATCCAGAAAATAATGTGAAATGCATAAATATTGATAGCTTTAGCTAAGTTAAAATGGGTTCAGTAAAGTATGATACAACATATTCAGAATAAACAAAGCAGAAAAGCATCATATTTTGGTTTGCTTGAGATATACATAAGGTGCAACAATTTCTTCTCTAGAGGCATTTGTGGACAACGTGTTAACAGGTAACAGTGTTTGCTGGTATACTGAAGTACACACAATAGCAGTAAGATTTTCCAAAATGAAAGCAGCTGAAATTAATAAAACTTAAAACAAAACAAACAAGGAAAAAACCCAACACCAATACAGTAAGATATTGGTCTGAAGTTTTTGTTGTGCTAACAGACTTTGTTACCTGAAAATACTGATACCCCTTCTAGTAGATTCAGGGAAAATTCTAGCTACTCAAATCAAGACATCACTCAGAGAACCAACAAAGGCAAATGCCTAGTGAACTATAAAGCTTTGCAGGATTTCTGCTACTCTCAGTGCCTAATCGCTTAAAAATTAAGCATATCTACAAAAAGGTTTGTAAGTATCTGAAAACAGTCATATCCAGTAAACTGACCCAACCCTACCCCCTCTCTAAGGGAAAGTCAAGGAAAAGCAGATCAAGTAAGATATTAATTAATATAGAAAAAAGTAATTTTCTGTTTCTTTTAAAAAAGGTACCATTAATATACAGAAATATCTCCAGGAACAATATTGAAATTTAAATCGAGGAAGGATGGGGTGCTTTGACAAAAATATATCTACTCTAAAGGTTTCTAGAGAAATAAGTTAGTACCATTGTCAACGTGAACGGCCTGCACTGTAACATATTTGGATTTCAGCTAATTATAAAGTGGTCCAAAACTCCAAAAGCCACCCTGCTGTGACCCACAAGTTTTAAGTCTTTTAAATTTTTTCCTGTCTTGTTAAAATAACTTATAAAACTTTAATAAAATCTTATTTAAAATACCACCATAAGCTGCAATGGCATTCTAGGGGCTCCTAGACATTTAGTCACCTGAATTTTTAGAAAAGCCTTTTCACTGACTCATTGGTTTGTAAATTTTGTTGTTTTTCTGTTCCCTTCGTTCACCACATGCATCCTTGGTGTTGCTGTTTCAGTGACACTTCCCCAGCTACATGCCTTTTGTCAGACCTTTAATCCTTTCTTAAAACTCTTGTGGTACATTGTATATTGTTTCCTGACACTGAACCAGAGACTTTCACTTAACTACAACAATGAAAGGCTAAACCTAGCAAGCATTAATAGTTACCGTCCATATGGCTATTACATCAAATTAGTTACAAAATAACCTCAAAACACATTATCAATTCAGTCAAGTATAAATAAGAATGCCTGATAGAATGATGTAAACTTGCATCATTTAAAGACTTAATTCAAAGAACTTCAAACTCAATCTAATACTATCAAAAGTTCAGCCGGTATGACGAAGACTAATAGAAAATTATTGCTGGAGTCCAATTTGGTAAATTCTTGTGCTACAATGCAAAAAGTAGGGAAACATCTTGTGCTATAGAAGAAGTACCCTGTTGAACTTGTAGCTTTAGATCAATTACTAGTGATCATTTTGCATCTATTGGTAGGAATCAATGCTTGGTTATACAATAGTGTAAGTCAGAATAGTGAAGGTAACAGGCCAAGTGATACACTTGACCTGCTTTTGGGATGTATTTATGACAGCAAAACACAAAAATTCAACACAAGCAGAGACAGAAACTGGCAGATGGATCTGTTCGATAGTCTGAATTCAGTCAAATGCTACTCTTCAGTTGTAGTTTAACTGTATACAGCTTTCCACTTTACCAACACAAACTGTAATTGGCCCTTTATGCAAACTCTGAAGCTGATTTGGACTGTGCATAGTAACTACAACAATGCCAGTGTCTGTAAAATGTAAAGGGTATGTGTATTGGTGTACACAATATTGAAAAGTCATGGTTTTGAGTTATTCGGAACTGTGAAATAATACTAAGGTCACTTTTGAAAAACGCATTTGCAGTACTTTTTGTTTACAGGAAAGTTTCACCAAGTCGCTCAGATATCTATGCAAAAATAAAGGAACCCTCCAAGGCATGAAAGACAAGTCAATTATCTGCAGTATTTTCTTTTCCATACACCACACCTTTTTCTAATGCACATCATCCTGGTTATTCAAAGCTAAATTAAAAAGAAACAAACCCAAACATAGCCTGTCAGAACTTTTCCCAGTAAACTCTACCACTCCGGTGGCAAATATAAAAGTGCAGAACATCTGGACCACGTGGCTGCCCAAACACCGCTAACAATGGTACATCTGTCCAGGCTGCCTTGAGTTCTCTGGAACAGGTTTTAAATTCATTCTACAATATAAACGTAGGCATAACCTATTAATATAAACCATCTTAGAACTTAAATCTTCATGTACAAAAATGACTAAGAATATCTAATAGTAACTAGTGCAGTGCGTCAGTGTTTTTGTTTTTTTTTTCTTTTTCATTTAGAATAACTAGATATTATATGAAACTAGTCGTACTCTCTGGTTGGTAAAAGAGATGCTGTGTGAGCTAACAGTAAAGGCAGCCTTTTTCACACCAACCACCTGCTTACTGTTTAAAAGCCTTCAATAGAAAGCAAGCTCTGGGATCATTCCATTTCATTCCACTCCGTTTCAGTTCAGTAATAGACAATATCACCCTCCTACACACTGGGTTCCAATTTGAGGACCTGGCCCAAGTTGCTAACGTCTGGCTTCCAGTGAATTCTGGGCCACTCAGAGCAATAAGCACTTTATTGCAGTCTCTAGTTCCACCATATGGACTGACTAGCTTCCCTTGGTAAAGACAAGGCTAGGATATTAGGTAAAGCACAATGTTTTACAATAAAGTGGAGCTTCACTGGTCAGCGCAGGAAATAAGCACTGGAGCCTGAGACATTTCATTTGGCTGTCCATCATGTGGGAGAGGTGTGGCCCTCTGACTTCTGCAAAAGAAGAAAAGAAAAGCCACCCATCAATACTTGGAGCACAGGAGGTGCTGTTATCAGACCTGAAAGGACAGGAAGCAGCAGTTGTAGGGTTTAGCACCTGACACAGACACAGCAGCACGGTAACTCCTCACTGCTGCAGGTGCTCACGTACTCTGGTTACACCTGCTTTAAGAGGAGCCCCTGCAACAGTAACACAATATCCCGAGGACAACCTACATCACAATGCAAAGGCAGGAAAAACCAGATGTAATGGTATTTGACTACAAAAAGCAAAACCCACAGCATAAGAGTAAGTTAAGAGCACACAGGTGCTGTGACTCATTTTGTAAGGGAGCTGCTGCAGCCCTCAGAAGCAGAACATATAGCATGTGTGGCAAGAGATAAACGCACAGAGGCACACACCATGTTAGTGCGAGTCAACAGACAGCTTTTAAGCCATGTGAAAATATACTCATCAGCAGAGTTGCACTGGGATTCCTCCACGTCACCTGACTACATCAGCCTAGCACATCTCTTTCATTACTACAGCAGTGCTAATTTAAAAATGATCTCTTGGCACAGGGTATCATAAAAATAAACTGTGCCAGAATTATGTGCTGGAAATCAACATCAGTCATGGTACCAAATGGACTTGGGAGAACTCCTTTGCAGCTTGCCTTTTAAAATACATACAATGCCTGTTATCTACTCTCACAGATGAGGTTCTATTTCTGTTACAGCAGTTGTCATTGGTAGCAATGAAAATCTGGGGCCTGCTTCTTATTTACACCAGGGACACTTTACCTCACTCTGGCCCAGTTAAGACCCCCAGCAGAGGTACCCATGTGCTTCACACAAGGGGAGTGCAATGAAGTGGCCTTGGCACAAAATGCAGTTCAGACTCACAGTGCTTAACCAGGGAATGTACAAGGTAAATAAAGACAAGCAGAAGACTTCAAATGAAAACCGTGCTGCCAGAAGAACTCCATGTCCCAAGGCTCTATGAAGCTATTAAAAAATTACATTCAGACACTGAAGAAACACATCAAGCAAACCTCCAATTCTTTTCTTCACAATTCTGGATATTTGCAAATAAAGTGAGTTACAAAAGGTAACAACAGTTGACACAGTAGAAAACAGAGGCATCTAGCCTGTAAGATTTAGGTTTCTGTTTTGATTTCCATTTGCCAAGTCAGTGAGAGATGTGGCTAACTTTCTACTGGAAGAGTCCTCCCCTGTTGTCATTTCACATCCCTCAGGGTGATTACAAACTGGCATTTCCAACAGCTGTGGGATATTTGCCCATTTAGTGTCTTCAGGCCTTATGAAAGATGCTGCATTGCCTGAGCTACATAAGGAGATGACAAAAGATGGGATTCAAAGAGAAAAACCCAAGCACAAAGCTCTGCAAAACATTAGCTCTCTTCAACAAGGACAAGAGGAGGACAAGAACTTTAAAGAGGCACAAGGAAGAAAAACCACAGCAGAGCAAATCCTGTTGCTTTTGTGCATTTCTGGTCAGTGTTAATGGCAGTCAATGAAACCTCAGTGGTGTGAGTGAGAGCAGAGCTTAGCACAGCACTTCCGCAAGTCTCATTTTGTGGCTTATGATGACAGCCTGACTGCAGTGTGAAATCACTTCTCACCCAAAACACCACCGCTTAAGCAAGACAACAGCTTCTGCAGAGAGGAACTAGCAGATATGTTTCTTTTAGGGTTCCTGAGCTTCTAAAAAGCCTCTGAGCATTTGATGTGCAGCCTGAACACAAAGCACTGGGTTCATCAATGGGGCCCACGAGAGGAACAGTTAATTGAGGTTGTGAATGGTTTAATGAACTGCTGCCTTGAGGAGTTGCTTAGGCAGCCAGCAATCTGTCAAATGGCATCTGCAGAGGCTGTGATGGTTTCAAACTGGCCCAGTGCTCCCTCATCAAGTTTTCACTGCAGGAGAGAATGGGGTTTCATATCCAGTAAGTTTCATGAAAGAACAACTCTGGATAATCAAGAGCCAAGAAGGACCTGCCAAGTAAACCTGTAATTGGTTTACTCCCATCAGAGGTCTGACCATTCTGTACTGATTCATAAGTAAGTAACTTGCACATTCTCCACCTTATGGATACTCAATAACTGAGAGGACCAACCCAAACTACCATGGCTTTCCATCAGCCAGAGCTGTTCTGCCCCATGCTATTCTGCAGATGCTTTGCCTTCTACACAGCAAAGCACAAGAGCACGAATAACTAGTTAGCTTCCCCCAGCCATGTTCAGCATAAAACAATTGAGAAATTTCAAAATGTATTAAATTCTCTCCACCATCTTAGGTTTTAAGCCACTGGAAAATGCAAATCAGCATGCAGTAGCTATTTAAATCTGCTATTATCTGATATATAACATCTGATAATTCTCAATCATTAGGATCTCAAGGATCATATGAACCTGTTTACATACAAAAATTGGTACGTAAGCTTACTGGGAAGGATCATTTTACTAACTGCTAAACAGATTACACCGCCATTTAGGTGAAGACTTAACACTACTAAGCAAGTGGGGTAAAGCAGACAGTCATAGAAAGCCATGGAAGGGGAAATGCAGGCCAAATTAAAGTCTGCTATTCACATGCTTTCTGAACAAGCTGTCAGCCACATGCTATTTACTTAAGACAACAAGAAGAAAAGAAAACCATACCTGTGTACATTTTCCATGGCTGCTACTTCTGCCAGAGCAGCTAAGCTAAAAAATGCAGACACCGCTGGCATATCTGACGTAATACTATGATTTTCTTCTGTCTCTGTGTTTCTGGAGCATTCACTGTTGCAATCTATCTCTGCACTTGATGATTTTTGAAAAGTACTTTGTGGCAGCTCTTTTGGCTTCTCCTCTGCAAAGAAAGAAAGTTAAGCATGCAGACGTAGTCCATAAATCCACTGCAGCCTATTGATATGCTGATTAGTCTGGTGTTAACAGAACCTGTACCTTTAGGACTTTGATTCTGCCAGTGTCATCTGATTCATGCTGTAACCTCTTCTGACTCCGACTACTGGGTCAGAAGCACAGTACTAATAAGGTCTATGAAGCAGTTTACTGATTTTGCATTCAACTGAATTTGATCTTTTTGGTCAGGCAAGAGAGCTTTTGTGTATGTTTTAGACACAGCAGAAAGATTATCTTACTGGAGAACAACAAGGACTCTGGCATTAACTGTCATACTGTGAAATTCAGCTTTACAACCTATAACCAGGTGCAGTGCAATTTCTTTGTGGGACTGGAAACAAATTGTGAAAGGTAACCATTCTCCATTTCTCTCTGGATCAGTTCACAGTTCTTAGAGTGAAATACCCAGGGAGAAAAGACAAATTTGGTCATTCAAACAAAAGAAGTTGGCCATTATGGACTCAGTGATTTCCCAGTTGGTTGATACCTGTATTTTAAATAATGACCATTCTAAACAGGTAAGGAAACAAGCTAATCAAAAAACACTGCCCTGACAGGTTGCTTGTACCTTCAAACCTTCTCCAACCATTCAGTTTTAATGAAATTTTAACTCCAATTTCCTTACCCAGTGTCCCTGCTGCTGGTGACACTCGCCCATCTGCTGTTCGGACAAGATGTGTGATCTTAGTTTTCCTTGCTTTCCTTTTCTGGCTGCCAACTAAAGGCTCATGCATCATTGCTGGCTCTGGAGTGTTTAGGGCAGATATAGAAATTTTATTCTTCCAGGCAGCCTCACTGGAATTTCTGTCTTCTAATAGTATGGCTGGAAGAGAACAAAACCACAACTTTAGATGTAGAATAATTCAGCCTCTAGCTATGCTCATTTTGCATCTATCTGCATAAAACTGTTCCTCACAGGTACTCAAGAGCATAACCCATGCCAAAACATGATCTGAATGTTTTCAGTGTTTGCAGTGAAGTAACAGAATCCACCTTAAAGATATACTGAAGGTTCAAGTTTCTAATATTTGCCAAGAAAACTCAGATTGGCAGCGGCACTTGAGTGGGAGCAGGGTATTGCTCTGTGTAAAACATCCTGCAACAGAAGATGTCAGCAAGTGGCTAAGAGACAAAATGTATTAAAGGAACAACAAGGGCCCTCACATAAGCTTATCTTAGCTCACAGACGGACTGACAAGCAGAATTCAGTAATTCCTGACTAAAACCTCTTTAGTCACTCTACATCAACTCCTCTAAGAAAGGGAAATACTGCCTTTTACAAAATAACAAACCTTAAAAAACACCCCACAAAGGCTGCAAATAAAAGAGCATAACTGGATCACAGCTGAAGACAAGCATGCTAAAAAAATGGAAGTAAGCATGGGATAGAATACCATGACAGAAATACTGCCCATATAAATTCAGAGAATGAGAAAGGAACAGTTTGCATCTTTCTCAGCAGCTCCATGACGTTCTGAAGTAGCCTTTTACCCCGACCTGGAACATGACCCCAAATTTTCACTCGACTAAAGAATTTATTTTAATCTTGTTCACAAAGAAATTGGTCAGACAGCAATCACAAAACATATTTAAGCTTCCAAAGTCTGAGCTCAGTGCCTAGCAGTCAACTGTTTGCAATTTGCATCGATTCAATAAGCCATTCTGCTGATCCCATGGGATATCACTAGTACATAAAGGCAATCTGTGACATCTTTTTCTCTCCTGTGATAAAGTGTTATGAAGCCTGCCTCATCTGTGATCACTGTTAGCTAGGGTTAGAAGGAGGATACATGTTGAGGGGAAGGGGCACCCCGGGGAGTCCCCAGAGGGCCCCTAGGCTGTGAGTTCGCTGGCAGCAGCGGGCAGGCAAGATGACTCCACATGACTTCTGAGGGTGCTGATTGATGAGGGATTATTGGGGGTCCCATCCCTGGGAACAGCATGGCTACTGAGGGGGAAGGGGGAGAGGGAGAGCCTAGGGGAGAGAAGGGCCAAGAGAGAGTCTCATCTCCCTCACACAGCTGAAGAGGGAGATTCAAAGTGGGTGCCGAATGAGACTTGGGCCAGTGGGATTACAGATACATGAGACTTCAGGGGAGGAACACAGGCTTGGAATAAACTGAACATTTTGGAGGGGTGAGACAGAGCATATCATTTAACTAAAATGCAACACCACAGCTACAGGTAGCAAATAGAATGCTCACGTCATTTTTTAAAGGTGCCTGTCTAACCTGTTTTGAAACTGGGAACATTCATGATACCTGCACCAAGTTCCTGAGGTATTTTTTCCCAGCACATTGCCATCCTGAATGATTAGGTATTCTTTCCTAATGCCTGCAACCTCATCCCTCCTGCTGCATTTTCAACTCATTATTTTTGTTACTCCCTGTCAGGTTATACACCATCTCTTTTCAACAGTCCTTGATATATTTTCCACAGCTGTTACTGTGTCTACAGTTAGCTTACTCTTCCCTCCAGTTTCTTTTAATCTTGCTCCTCATTATAAAGACATTTTAAAGACACATTTGTCACTTTTTGGGTGGTTTGACCAGCAAAAATTACACACACAGAACTGAAGCCACAGTGCAAACAACAGCTCTTTAAGAAGTGCTAAGAACGGAACAATTCCAATCTCCTGCACTGAGACCGGTGGTGTCACACAGGAGCGTCCAGCCCCACAAACTGCACAACAGCCTAACAGTCTGCATGGCCTTTGCCTTTCCCATTAGTGTGTATTTCTGTTTATTGTTAGTTTTGTAGATTTAATGAACTTTCTATTCAAAGATACAGCTAATGACACCTTTATATTTTGCTGGCTTTTTAAACTGTTCATTGTGTGAGGATGTGGACTAGATGAAGAGAATAGCTGCAACACATTTAATTTTTTTAGCAGTTGCCCTTTGCTCTTCTGTTTGAATGGGAAGGACCTTTTAATGTTTTGTTGTGTAAGAATACAATCAGATCTAGTACATACATGCACAAACATTTGAAACATTCAAAACTTTAATTTGTCTATGATTTTAGTTCACCTATGTTCTCTTGTAAAACATTTTTGAACTTGTGCATGTTCTTTATTTGGAAAAAAAGCACACAGCTTTAATTAGCATTTTGAAGTGCTTAGCTCTAGCTGCCAACCTCTCCAGAGCACAGCTTTGCTGTAAAACTGATTTTTTTTGGTAAAGAGTGCTCAGAAGAAAGCACAGGAAAAGATCCACTCTGTAACAATCCAATTAAGTAGAAGCACCAATGACTGCAAATGTGACTTTCAAGAAACTCAACTGGGCCAACAGTGAGATATTCAGATAAGCTTTGTGCATCAAGACCAGGATCTTAATTGGAATGTATAATTAAATAGGCAGCTTTCTCTCCAGATTTCTTATTTGGGAATTCATAAGCATTGATTATATTTTAATGCAATGGTCTGGTTGTAGTCTAACACTATCTGTTAATTCTGATTTGCTCTAATTAGCACTTTGACACTGCTGTCTACTTCTAGCTTGATTGAGTTTATAATGCTTTTAATCGGAAAAGATCCACTCTGTAACAATCCAATTAAGTAGAAGCACCAATGCTTCTGCAAATGCAAAGTCACTTCTGCAAATGCAAAGTCACTGCAAATGTGACTTTCAAGAAACTCAACTGGGCCAACAGTGAGATATTCAGATAAGCTTTGTGCATCAAGACCAGGATCTTAATTGGAATGTATAATTAAATAGGCAGCTTTCTCTCCAGATTTCTTATTTGGGAATTCATAAGCATTGATTATATTTTAATGCAATGGTCTAACACTATCTGTTAATTCTGATTTGCTCTAATTAGCACTTTGACACTGCTGTCTACTTCTAGCTTGATTGAGTTTATAATGCTTTTAATCTTAGTACTATAACTCACTTTTTTTTTTTACATTTAATAAAAAAATTAAGACATGATTTCAAACAATGAACAACATACAATTAAAACAGACCTGATTTGGTATGCATTTAATTAGATGTGTTGTATGTCAGGTCACTAGAAATTAACTTGATTGATCACTACAGCTGAGGGTTCCCTTTTATATTTTTCTTTCTCATATTGTATGTGTCAAAAAATAAAGAGAAAAAAAACCTTGAAAGGTAAAATAGGCAATAGTGGAAGACACGAGGAGTATATGATGTTGGCACATTTGACTAAGAAACAGCAGAAGGTGGCTGTAAAAGCTCAGATGCAGTAAGTATATGCCTCTCCATGTTTTTGTATTGTTTTATATTTCTTCTCCCAAGTTTTTATTTTAATCCTTGAAATAAGACTTGAAAGTCACCTACTTTTCTCCTCTAGCTCTAAAAGAAGCTCTTCATCACTTCTACATGACATGGCTGCCACAGTCTTGAAGGAAGGAAGGACTGAAGGTTAACAATGAGTACTTTGTGTGTGTGGGTGCAGGGTGAATGTTGAAGGGAGGAGCATCTTTTTCTCTTCTTTAGCAGTCTTAGTTTACTGGGTTTAGAAATCATTTCACTGACTTCTTTACAGAGTATTATTCAAGTAGACATAAAACTTGGAAATCACACTAAGGCTTGACTTGCAAGACCCTTTGCGCTGACCTCTAGAGGAGAATGGAGTCCATGTTTCAACAACTCCACATCTAAACTTATGTGCTCCTGCACCTTCTTCAAGAGGAATAGCATCCCACTGCTTCAAGTGGCAAAAGTACATCCATACAGATGCTCCAAACCAGGACCTGGTTTTGTTCTGTAGGAAGGATAGGGCTAGCCAGATTTAATTCCCTGTAGTTTTCTTTAATCCTTTTTATTAAATGGATTTTTATTAAAAATCCATTCTGCTTCCTCACTGTCCTGCTTTCAAGAGCTGTCCCAAGAGGAACTCAGCTAATTTTCAGGGGAACATCATCTAGACACGAAATGAGATTCTGCAGTTGTTGTGCAGTCCTGCTCTCCATGCTCAGCTCTCCATGACAGTGGCATGGGCAGAACTACTGGGCTATCTTTGCAAGCAGAGTTGAGAATATACCATGAAGGTGTGAGCCTTCAGGCATGCCTACACCACAGTGGCAGAAATGACCCTGAGAGAGACATATCCAGAGGTGTATGTCAGATGGTTTCCTCAGCTAGGTTTGTTAAAGGTCTGCACGGACAGTTTATCCTACTCTGCAGGCATGCAGAGGACACATAGTCTTACTTCCCCCCTATTTTTGTAAACAAGAAAAACAAAGTCAATTGAAGTGACTCACCATACCACAGCTTTTCAGATGAGCTTTTCAGACCAAACCCCACAAACCAAAAAACAGACTTTAGAGAATTTCTTTAGTGATGCCTGTTATGAGAGAGAGCTGCAAAACTTTAACCACACTTGGTGGAGAACAAATGCTCTGTGGGTCTAAGCATGCTGGTATCAAGGAAGAAAGGTGGGCTGTAATAATTGAATTGTCTTTATGAAGATAAACAATGAAAATCTAGCCAGATAGAGCATCGCTTCAAGTCATCAGTGTCTACGGAACCTCTTCACCAAGGAAGTGATGCCGAACAGACTCACCTGGCAGAAATTCCAGCTCTTCTGACAACAGGACACTGCTACAATACTGCTTCGCGGCCAGGCAGCACACAGAGATGCAGCAAGGACTGGGACTAACAAGCAGAGCTACAAAGCAGCAGATGGTCAAAGCAGCTGTAGGAGACAGCCGCCTGGGCGGGAAGCTCTGCTGCACGAGCCTGTCCTGATCTAGCCCTCCTCCAACCAGAATGGTTGCCAAAGGCACAGAGCTACTGGCTCCCTCTGGGCTGCAAGTGCCACAAAACAGGGCTCTGATGTGTGTGGGAGAGCTGCTGTAGGAGCAGGCGCAGCGACAGGGCTGCTTCACGTGTGAGTTGGTGCTGAGACCAGTGCATGTGTTCATCCTCTCTTCTCCCCTTCCTGTGCCAAGGCCAATGTTACAGCTGGCTGCTACACAGACCATACAAGAGCCTCAGCACAGCTCACCAAGTGTACCTGAAAAGATGCAATCACTCTGACTTGTTATTTTAAGTACTGCTTCCCATCGGAAAGCCCTTCTGGTGTGGCAGAAAAATAAAACTCTCAGATGAGTGTTAACTTTCCCAAACAGGCACAGGTCCAGCTGTTCTTCTGTCAGCCTTCCTAAGGAAGAGATGTATTCCTTGACATATTCAATTGCATTACTGTGTGCTCTCTGTAGCATTTCACTGGGGTTTAACTGGGCTGTAGCCTGCTCTCTGAACAGCTGCAAACTCTTAACATGGCGATGTGCACTGGTGCTGCTGCGTACAGTGGGGTCAAAATTCTCTCAGATTTTCATACCAGAGACACACGGACAACAAAACACAATCACATTAAATCTGCCACTACTGCACTTACTTTCCTTTGCTCCTAACAGATGCCCAGAGGCACACACACATTTCAAGATGAAAAAACATGAAGCCAATATGACCTCTCCTGACAGCAATCCTTCCAAGTGTCTCCTCTGCAGCTATACAAACATTCAAGCTCCTTCTTTCTGCAAAATTAACTTTATAAAAACCAAAACTGCACATTAGGTAGACTTGTGACTCGCCACAAGTATAGACTAACCACAAAAAGGAGTAGAAATTTTAATTTATTGTTTGATTCACAGAATGCTCAGATAAATATTATCTGAACTGAAATGAAGATTCTGGGATTCCCATCTTGAATGCTGCAGAATATGAGACAGCACAGCCACACTGTTTAGGGCCTGTTGCCTAGGAACTTCCTGGATGGAGGATGAAGATCTGCAGGCAGCACACGAGGGAGACGCTCTCCAGCATGTGCTGAGGCCATGCCCATACTGCCCTTTGCTGAGCAAGATTTTGGGTTCAGTCGCTAATGGTACACTCCAGAGTAGGCAAGACTCCAAATTTTCTCCTCTCTGTAATTCAGGGGAAAATGCAGTCCCCCACCAATATACAGACATCCACTGCTTTTCCTCTGATGATTAGATGTGGGCTGTGTAAGGCTCCTAAGTTCATGTCTTTGCTTTAGTCTTGGAGGAACTTAGCAAGCTGGCTCTGCCCCAGCAAATGCACAGACACATCTTTAATGTTTAGACACTATGACATTATTCACATGCTTAACTTCCAAGGACATGCCTCTGTGCTGTGCTGGAACAAGGCCAGGGTACTCAACACTTGCCAGGGTTGAATATTTGATCATAGTGCACACTTCACTTTCTATCAAAACAGGTTGGCTTCTTTTAAACAAATGCAGGGTTAGACACTTCGTTTACCCACATTTTTATCTGCAAATTTTAAGGTATTTATATTTTTTACTCTTTATCATCTATTAAATACTTTCTGTTTCTTTTCCCCCAGGAGAATTTAAACACCCATTTGTCTTAATAATTTGTCTACACGGTCTATTAATAATTCAGGAACAAAATCTGAATGACGCCAAATAAAAATTATGCTAATGTATGATGCCTTTTTTACACCAACATAGAAGCAAGATAGTTACTTTTCATAAGCAACTGCCACAACAAATTCGTTGTACAAATACAACAAGACAGAGCAAGTAATTTTGATTTGCACCGTGAAATGCAGAAGAGCAGGCAGAGCCTATGTGGGAAAATAGCTTATGTGCAACACAGATGACAGAAAACATAGCACCAGGAAAGGAGAGGAAATTACACGGCCAAGTCTTAGCAAAAGATATTAACTATAAATGTAGCTGGGGAAACTGGAGACGGGAACAACAATTTTATTATCTTAGAGATGAACATAGGTGGGGAAGAAACCAGACAAATTAATGGAGTTAAGTAAGCAGAACCAGAGAGGTTTTTCTAGATTACAGAACAATGCAGGAGAGAACACCACTGTGGAACAGAGGAACAGCTTGGGCATAACTTGAATAGTGTGGGCAACACGATGATAAAAAAAAAAGGGCCCAGGGAAGCAGGCTAAATCCTGTTTTGAGTTTCTAGTGTGTGGGATATTATGATACTGTAACAAGAAAAAGACTTTAGAGAGCTAACAGCGGATAGCGGATAGCGGGCAGACAAGGTCCAGAACATAACCTAAAAAAGTGCAGAAGGTATTTTCAGTATGAAGCAAACAGAAAGCTGGTTTAAGATTTCTACAGAGGCAGGGTTGGATGCTGGTATTTCTGAGCTCTGGTGCAGAAACAAGTGCTTACATCCTGACCAGGCTCTTACACCTTGACCAGCTGCAGTCTGCAAAGTTCCAGACAGCAAGAAGTCACAGGAATAGGAGACAGGGCCATGCAAAAATGCTCTGGCAAAATAATATGGTCACTGATACGGAAGAATGCAGATAAGAGCAACCTAAGGACTACAGAGCTGTGAGCTGTAGAAGATAAAAGTTTTCAGGGCCAACTGCAGAACTGCCCTTGCTTTGTCAGCTCAGCTGCATGGCATCTGGAGCAGGGAAACTGTAATTAAAGGGAGATGCCAAGTAAAAACAAAACAGCATCATACTGGAATAAGGTAATATCAACTGGAGCCAGAAGGCAATGGAATCACAGCAGACAGGGAAAATAAGGAACCAAAGTAATCAAAGACTAGAGAGAGCTGAGGTGTCTCTGTCTAGAAGCATTTCCCCAAGACTGAATTGAGAAAGAAGGAAGCTGAAAACCTTAATTAAGCAATGCACCAGTACCTGTGTCCGGAACATTAAGCTTCTTTCTGTGCTTAAATTTGCTGACAATTTTGTGGAATAAGTTCTTTTCCTGAGACTGGAATGAACCTACAGACAACATTAATAATACATACTTTTAATAAGAAGCTTGAAAAAGAGTACAACAGTCACACTATGTACTGTCCAACCTCCCCTTCCTATAGTACAAGTTGCCATATGACAGGGAAGCACAAAACCTGACCTTCTGCCTGAAGGGACTCTGGAGGCTTTCAGCAAGCTGTAGTTCAATCCACCACCTCCCAGTGTTTAAGTGCATACAATGCATTTTGGGGAATGAAGCCCATAGGAAAGCCTAGCCATACAACAAAATGGGCTTTTCTTGCTTACTTAAAGATATACTCTCTTTTGCATGTATACTGAGCTTGGCTGGCAGGGAGTAAACTTAACAGTGCTGGAAACACACCCATGGTTTAGTTACTGCTGAGCAGTGCTTACAGAGCATCAAGATCTCTCTCATTCTGGCACCCCAGCAAGTAGGATGAGGGTGTTCAAGAGGCTGGGAGGGGACATAGTTGGGACAGCTGACCCACGTGGGCCAAGAGGCATTTTACACCACACTCAACACAAAACTGTGCTGGGGAAGTGTTTTTTAAAGTTGTCCATTGCTCAGGTAACTGGCTGGACATCAGTGTGCTAGTAGTGAGTGCTGGCTTTGGCATTACTTGTTTCCTCCCTCCAACTTATGAAACTGTCTTCTTCTTGACCCAGTGTAATAGTTTTGCAAAACTACTAGACCCAGGAAGTATTTTTCCTTGTTTTTGCCCTTCCTATTATCTTCCACATCCCACTGTAGGAGGGAGCAACAGGGTGGGAACATACTTACCAGTCAGGACCAACCCACCAGAGGATGCAAGAGCTACCACTGCCTTACTGGGGACCAGAAATGAGATACACTAAGTGGGAAAGTTAAAGCCCCCAGAGGAAGAAGGTGAGGTTATGTCCAGCTCATGGTTATCATTCCTACTTTGCCCGCAGAGTCTTTACTTGGAGCAGTTAGAAGACATCTTGTGTGACATTGGACCACAAAACATGCCACTATCAGATGTCATCAAGAAGTCAGCCTTTGCCTCATTAGGGGAGCAGACAGTGATATAACAGCAACATAGGCATAAGAGATGCATAATCTCCACAATGCAAAGCAAATTTTAGAGAGTTTACAGAAACTCAACTTCAAAATCTTATTTCCAAAGAGACAATGGACAAGCGAGTCTTCAGGCTAGTTCAGAACAGACCAGCCCAAACAGAAATGAGATGCTATGCACGTGACAAGATGATTCATAACCTAACAAGCAGGTGTCCTTCCCATCTCTAGCTCATATGTAACAGGATTCTATCCACCACAAATACTCGCCTTTTCCACTCCTCATCCTTAAAAGGAACCAGACACACACACTGGCTACTGGGACACAACTGCAACCATATAGGAATGTGCAATCAGGGTAAATCTACTTATACATCTGCAATTTGCCATCTCAGACTCCATATGCAAGGAAAAAAGGAGTAAAGTATGTAGCACACGGAAGAAGTATTTAGTCTTATGAAGTGAAAGCCATTCACAGACACTAGGCTGTCTGATCAATACTGAAAATTACTGAGAGAAAACTAAAATCCAGACAGAGGCAGGCATAGAAACTTTAGCATCTTGCTCATGTTGGCTTTGTGGCTCACTGCTACTTCTTTTTTAATATGGAAGAAATCAAAACTTTGGAGAAAGATTAATAAACTTCCAAAAATCTAGAAGTCAAACAACAAACCAAATAAAGTCCAAGCAAGAGATCATCTCAGGCACCATCAGCTTGAATCTGAACAGCTTTACTAGAACCTGTATAGGAAACACCTTAAAGTACATTAGAAGAGGCCATATTCACTCGAACTTACTGAAGTGTTCTTCTACAAATTTTACAACAGTTTCCTGAGTATCACAGAGGACTAGTCTAGTGTCAGTGCAACAAAAATGTAAAACAAGGAATGAAAAAGCTCGGAGAGCTTGAGCAAAAGCCTAAGTGAAAGAAATAAACTTTTCTTGATACCAAGCTTAGATACTTCATACACATCAACAGAAACAAGTCTTCCCACCAGTTCCACAAGAAGACAGAGGTACATAACCACATGATTCTTGTGACATTTTTGTTATTATTATTCTTTACCCAGCTGATTAGTTATTTTTTTCAGATGCTTGGAAGAAGCAACACGTTACATATCACCCATGTCTCAATTTCTACAACTCAACCTGCACCATACAAACCACTTCAATCACTATGACAGACACTCAGCCAGTATCAGCAACTCTAAGCAGAATAACTGAGATGAAAAACTCAGAAGATGACAAGCACTGCACACAGGGGGAAACCTGTGTCTTTCATCTCTTTTTTCCCCACATCAAAGGCACCTTTGTCATCAGCCTGTATCTGCAAAATACCACTTTCCCATATGGAAAATCCAGAGACTTCAGTAGAGCCAAAGAAAATCTGCCCTTCAGTAAGGAAACCTTCAATTTCCTTCCCTTTTAGCTGTAACTCCTGTGAGACAGTGTCCAGTGACAGTCAGAATACCCTTTGGCCATGAAAGCATTGAAAGAGAAGAGAGGCTAATAGCTAAGTAAGTCAACAGTTCATACTTGGACTTAACAATCTAACTTCTGACTCCACAAGAAACTTCATCCACACTCTTTGCCTTAACAGTGTAAGCACAGCCACCACGCTGGAGTTGACAGGATGGCTGGCCGGGCTACACCTGTTTCATGGGGACAACAGGCAAGTATTCCAAGACTTGGAAAAAATGCCACTTGGGAACATTCAATCCAGAGAAAATCCGTGACTGAAAAAAACGAACCTAAAAGTCTTGCTGTTAGGCAACGGACCCTATATATATATATATATGTATATATCCTTATATATATATACATATATGTATATATATGTAAAAGAAAGCTGAAAAAATTTTAGTTTACTTGACATTGTTATACAGCCATCTACTAATCTTGCTCTGTTGGAAATATTCCATACAGTTATTCCTCTCCCTAGCACTTCAGAAATTGCCACCGGATTTAATCCCTGGCTTGTCCATAGTGCTCACTGAGGGCAGTAGGGATTCCTCCTGGGAATACTTGCTATGGCCAGTGGCAGCTGTCTGGGGAAGAAGCAGGAAAGAAAATGAACCATTAACTGCATTCCCTCCGAATTTCTGGGAATAGACCCCCTTTGCTTTCAAAAGTTCATTGTCTTAAAGGATCTGATCAAATAGAGGATGTTTCAATTAGATCCTAACAAAATCAGGACAACCAGTTTGTACATTTCTGCATCTCTCAGAGGAAGGCACTGTATTTTTAGGTCATGATCCTTGGAATATTACAGCTCAAAATCTCCAAGCATCTGAATGCTTTGAACCGAGCCAAAAAAACCCCAGAGCTAAGACCAAGTGGAATGCCACAAAGCAGCATCCATTTTAAGCTGATGTTTTATTTCTAGTCCTAGAGGCCACAGACAAAAAAGCAAAAAAAAAAAAGTAGACAATCTATTCCCCAAATAAAAGCACAGTGTGCATTCCCCTCTTTGCCTTCCCAAAATGAAAGCTTTAGTGCAGTGCTTGGTGTATAAGTGAGCATTTCTTCAAAGTACAAAGCAGAAATAATGACTCTGCCTGTTGCTCACTTGTGCATACAAGCAGATTAGTGACTAACTGCAGACAGCTGACTTCTGCATGGTGGGATGTTTTGGCACATATGCCATTGGAAAGAAGAAAAAAAAAAAAGGAAACAGTCACAGCTCCAGTAAATGTCGGAGCAGGCCATCTGCACAGATTCAGTATAGCTGTATTCTTCAGCCATTTTGTGACATTATTATTGTATGTGCATATCCCAGTTCAAAACACTTGATGTGGATTTTGACAAAGCTTTATGGCTTGTTCAATCCTGATCCCAGTGCAGAAAGACCCCCAATCATTTCAGTGGGAGCAGAATTTAGACAATTTGGAAACTCTGAGGAAAAAAAGTGCCCCTCGTTTAAGAAAAGGTTCAAATTTTCCTTCATATATGTGGATGTGAAACAGCTTTCATGCTACAGGGTTCTTCAGGTGTTTTTATGTAAAAGAACTGGCTGAAGTGTGGACTGGACATGACAAGCACAACAGAAGTAGTCAGTGGGCACTGCCCTACTGATTTTCCAGAGCAGGAAAACATCCTGACAAATCTGGCTGTGTGGTTAGGCTGCAAATCAAGCCTGTTGTAGGTATAGGCAAATGACATTTGATAGAGAATCGATCCAGCACAAAATAAAACTTACTAAAGCATACAGTTACAGTTGGGGGTGGGGTGCAGAGAAACACCCTAAACCCAACAAACAAAAACACTTCTTTGTTTTTATTCACCCAGCATCCTGAGGAAGGTTTAGAGTGCAGCACTCCAAAATATTTTCTAAATTTTAAATGTTCAGTAGACATTGTAGACTTCAAAAATTAAGTAGTCATCTGTGCTGAGTGAAAATGAATAATGAATAGATAGTTTATGATCCTGCACACACTCCTTCAAAAAAAGCAGCACATCATTTCAAGGAGTGTTTACTTAAACATATCCCTACTGATTTTTATCTGTTATTTAGAAACACCCAGAGGCTGAAAACACTTGTAGACACTATTTGTGCTGAACAACTCTTCCAATTACCTGGCAGATACACACCCAAGGAAAAGCCACACAGCAGAAACAGCTCCACACAAAGCAGTAATGCAGAGCAGTGTGAAGTTAAGGTGTCCCACATCCCCACACAGTCACATCCATAAGATTATATTGACCCTTCATGGTTCATGCTCATTGCATAAAAATGCCACTTTTGTTTAATTCTCTAATGGTGTAAAAAAGTAGGACAATTTAAAAGACCCATAACCACACCAAACCAAGCTCTATTATTTTGCATGATATGCCAGTTTCATTTCCTGCAGTGCTTGTAGTAACCTAGCACACAGACCTGCTTGTGCTACACTTTTGGAGGCCAGGGCTCTCTAAGAGTCTTTATATTCATCACACTTCACCAGACAACAGCACAATGAGGCCTAATAGACTGTCAGTACATCACAAATTAAATGGAGGATTCAGCTTAAATGTTTGACTTAACTGGAGCAAACCTTACTAAGATAGTAAGCTGGCCTGCATGCACTTTTAGGTCAGATAATTTCAAACACACAACTCACATCCTAGTTTTACACATCCTAAGAAAATAAAACACATTTAAAATTGACCTACTGCCATCAAATATTTACTTTTCAGCAATCCCTCCTTTCCAGAAGAAAAATGGTTTGATGAAAAGTTTTTCAACTACCTCTTGAGAGCTGACTGAACTTTGCTCTTCAGGGAGTTGGAATGACTGCCACAAAACTGTCAGCTTGCCCAGCTTAAGTGTGTGAATTCAACATTCACAGGAATTAGGAGCAGGTATCACTAGCTCTTCTGGATTTAGTTTGGGGCTGCTGTTAGATGTTCACTACAGAAGGAGCAGAGTTACCATCCGATATTCCTGCCCCGGGGCTGCTTGTTGCAACCCCACAGCTCAGTTGGTGGCAAAGTTCATGTGACTGTTTACCATCTGCTCAGTGCAAAGTCAGCTGGCTGAATTTAAAGAACCCTTGTTGTCAGCCAGAGGCAAAAGCTCTACGACTGTCTCTGCAGGGCTGTGCCAAAGCTACTCATATCAGGCTTGTAACCAGCCTACAGTTATGTTGACCTTCTCTTGAGACAAGGCCGAATATATTCCAAAGTTCTTTAAGTGATGCTAACAAAAATAAAAACTAAACTTTCCTGTATGAGCCTACCCAAAAGTAGAATGCAGTGCTGGGCTACCTGGCTTGAGGCGGAATTCTAGCCCACCATTCCCAAACAACACAGGGCCTGCAGAATTTTTAAATATACAGACACCTGAACAGGTAAATACTGTAGTGAGAAATCCAGTGAGCTGCTACTACAACTTCAATTGCTAGATCACTGTAGTTGAGGAGGTTTTCTTCCCAACAGATGTTGCTTAATTACCAGTGTGTTATCATGCTGTAAAGCAATTCATTCATGCTCATTTAAGAAGTTCTGTCAAATACATACCACAAAACAAAATTAAAGGCAGCTGAAGTCAGAACTATCTTGGTATTAGCACAAGTCTAATTTTGCAAAGTGGCTGTTCCACATCTAATTACAAAAATCAATACCAAAACTGGCATGCACTAGAAAAGAACAGCTGTTCAATCCTGCATACTGTAATGTGATTATTTGTGAAACATTCAAAAGGCATAGATCTAATCCAGGGTCACCTGGCTAAAACAGACATATCTGATCGTAAAACCTGTCACTCAGTAGAACTACCATTGCTGCAGAAAAGAAAATCAACTTCACATTGCAAACTGTGCCTGATGAGAATCCTTTTGAGCAGCCTTACGTCTTGTGGAATTACTGGTATATAATTCCTTCATTTTGTGATGCTTCTATACTGTGTATTTGTATCAGTATTTCTGCCACAGCATAAAAGTAGTTTTACCCTACTACACTGTCACTTCTCTGACACCTCTGTATCACAGGTTTCCTGTATGAAAAACCAGCCAAGTGTGTCATGAGTTTCTCCTGCCATGAGCCTCAGCAATGGAGCTGGGTATAGAATTGGTTTTCATGTCCTCTAACTTTTTTTTAATCACATCAGGACAGTTTTGCTCAAAACTTATGACAGAACTATAATCTTGATAGAAAAAAAATTCCAGATGCTTCATTCAGACATATCTGGTACTTTATATTTTAATTTACAGACACTAAAATTGCAGTGAAATTAAAACTAAGCTTAGAAAATGTAACCTTCGATCATATGCCCTTTTTCCCCCATTTTCTCCTGGGAAAACTTGTCAAATTAATTTACCTCACAAATATTCATGTTTTTGAAAACCTTTCTTGCTATGAGAAATATATTTTTTGTACAAACTCTACCCAGTTCTACTTATCATGAAAACCGGGAATCAAGAGTGAAAACAATCAGCCTGAAAACTAAACCAGATGAGAACCAACTAACTTCAGTGCTAGGTAATTCTTTGACTTCAGACTTTCCACAGGTAACAGTAAAGTAAGAATGTATAAATTCCTGAGCTTGTTACAGCACTGCCATTGTTTAAGAACTTCCTGCACTTGGCAACTTACCTTTGTTGGATTTTGGTAGTTCACATGAGCCGCTTCCAATCTTTCGCTTTTTCCTCGAAACGGCTGAATTTTTCCTGTCAAAGGTAATAGGACTGTATTGAGGGAGGCTGTTGAATTTCTTTGCAAATTCTTCTTCCAATTTTGCTAAGCTAAATGGGAAACAAAACCATTCAAATTAAATGTAACTCTTTCTGGAGAAAAAAAAATATTTTTTAAGAGCATGTCTGTGTATACACACACACCCTGCTACACAGAGAGGGGGGAAAATCAGGTAAGTGCACACACTGTAAACACCAAACCAGTATATATTAATCCAACTCTGGAATGAGAATGTACATTTCTGCTTCTGCATTTGTAACAGTGCAAACTGATTACCTTAGTAGCATATGTTAAAATTAGAAAAAAAAAAAAAAATCAATGTCATACTGGTGACATTTAGCTCTGACATGTTTGCTGCACAGAATCGTACAAGAGATTTGTCTGTTCTGTGAGGGGAATGAACAAAGACAATAAAACCAATAAATAAACCAATAAAATAACTTCACATAAAAGTTCTTACACCAGAATTAAAATTGCATTTCAAACCAGAAGAAGAATGTCAAACTAATCAATCTTCTGTAGATAGTCTGAAACATGAAGTGTTGGGATGGGAATTAGTTTTGTATTTGTTCTGGGTGATTAGATTTTCTCCCCTGGTATTTCATTTGCTGTGAGATGAAACATGCTACTAGCTTATGCTTTCATGAAAGCCAACGCACCTCCTACTGCAGCCTAACCTGAATGACTGCCAGCAGACTAACTACAACTCAAGAAATCCACAGACAAGGTATGATTGCTCCTAATAGCCAGAAGAAAACAAAGCACTCAAAAGAGGATGGCACAGCATTTCCAGCTGTAATGACTACACTGGCTTGCATAAGCACTCTGTTCCTGAAAATTTTTGCAGCCAGGCAGAAGTAAAAATTGTGTTCTAGTAAAAGGCAAGCACACAGTTAGGCAGGTTATAAATAGCACTGTCAATGATAGAGGAACAATGACATCTTCCACTTGTTTTTAATTCTCCTTGCTATGAAAAACCTCAACTTGACAGAAGTTGGCATGACTGTTGGAAGGATGGCCCTTTATACACTCGGAAATATCACAAGAAACATGGTACTTCTCTATGCTTTCTGAAGCAGCACTTCAAACAAATTGCATTCTGAAAGCTTTGGTACACAGAAAGATACCTCATTTTTTCTCTGTAATTATTACTTCTCTCAGGAAGCAATTTTCCATCTTAAAATACAGCCTTGGCTCTTTGCAGACCAAGTGCATGGTGGGATTTGTTTGTGTACACATGTTTTATTTTGGTTTTAAATCACAAAGGTCTCTTACATCAGTAGTGCTTGGTACTGCTCCCTTTTTCTCTTCCACACGGATGCTCCCTGACAACCAAAAAACCATGTGATTTTCTGCTCTGACTCAGCTCCTCTCCCACTGTCTGTTCCCACCTGCCTCAGCTGCTGCCCCGAGGGCATGTGAGGGGCTGCAGCTCTAATTGGGAAGGCCAAACCTTGTTTGGCAGTGGATGAGCTGCCATCCTGCCTAGAAATTTATAACTTGTGTGACATGCAGGCAGGCAATGGGGAGTGCTGCTATCTCTATGTCAGCGATTAATTATTTAAAGAAATAAAAAATAGTCCACACTGTCATGAATTTTAAGACCCTCTCAGAAGCCTGGTTAGACATGTGTAGCTGAGATGAGGTGTTCATGCTGCATAGCCTAGTCCTGCCAGGAGATATAGGCAGGTAGGGCAAGGGAGTGGGAAAGCACATCTGACCCAGACCATGGAATGAAATGGGGGAATCTACTGATGGGGAAGGTATGGCACAGGGAAAATTATGAAAATGATGTCATTCTGAAGGGGTGAAGACATGCATGTACAAAATGAGGCTGAAATGTGATGCTGAAGGCAGCAGAGGGAGTTAAGTGGAGGAGGCAGAAGTAAAACCAACTCTTCAAGTAGCCAGAAGATCAGGTAATGCAATGAAAAGGGACGCCGGATACCTTCTCCAGCACTTACGCTTCACAAATTCTTAATTCTGCCTTTACAGAGTTCACTAAATAATACTCATTAATGATGCAACTGAATAAAGATCAGAGATTGGAAAATACGTATTTTTTCATCCAGCCAGCTAATGAGGGTAGCGTTGAATGAATGATTTAGACAAGTTTCCTAGATACTCTTTGAATAAATAATTTACAACTACTTTTTTTTTATGCTACAAGATGTGATGAGTTTTCCCATCGTTATGTGGGAAAAGTTTTCAATCTTTCAACTTAAAATATTTCCAAAACTTATACAAAGCTCCAAAAATATGAAGTGCTCAATTTTTTCTTAACTAGTTTTTCTTGACTATTCCAATAAGAAGACTTGGGGACTCCCACTGATTTAATATCTTTGCTGAAAGTGAGCTGCAATTAGATGTCACATAAACTAGACTGTGAAAAGGGTACTGCAAACCTGCAAAACCAAACATATTATAATTTTAAGCACGAAATATGGAACAACTCCCCCTTTTAAATACATTTTCCTATCTGCAAGAATTTGCAAGCATGAATGGCAACCCAGATTTAACTACTGTGCCTGCAGCTAAATAAATCTGTAATACAAAAACCATTACCTGTATACTAGAAAAATAATTCTGTGCAGTCTTGCTAAATTTTAATGCATCTGTACTCCTTAATTGTTTTTAAGATATATTTAATTTCATCATGGTGGACATAAATAGTTTAAATATCTTTTCTCTAGAATAGAAAAATGACATATTTATCATAATTATTTGCCAATAGAAGAACACTGTTTACTATTCCTCTGTAAGCAATCTCTCAAAGTGGGAAAGAGATCTATTCTTTCTAGTCTAATCTGGTTTATGATGACTGAACACCTACACAGAACTTTAAATAGCGCTTGCAAAGTACTCTGAAAATGTAAGTAACCCTCTTCACTACTTTTTGAGCAGGTACATACTGTGTGGTTTGTTTAGAACTGAGCAAATAACACCATTCAAATTCACTTAGAATGGTGTAAACCTGGAAAGATCTCAAAGGAATTACTTTGCTATGAAAATGACAGGTATTTAGAGCATGACTCAGTTCCACAGGGTTTTTCATTTTTGGAATTGTGATTATTTGTGTGTTAGATGCAGGTCACGTAGATGCAGTGAGGAGGACTCAAATTATTAGGCTGACCTAACTAAAACATCTAAAAGTGTTAAGCCACAACTTACCCAAAAACAAACTCTTCCTTTGGCTTAGACTTTTTCAGTTTCTTGTTCCCACTTGGGGAAAAGGCCCAGATTTCTTCATTCCAGCATCCTTCATGATCTGAGGAGTTACCTTTTCCTGAGCTTCTTTTTCCTGTGATGAAGGCAGAAAATTGTTTCTCATCTTTAGAAAAATGTTCAAAACAAAGAAGACTCAGAAGAAACTTGTGTACCCAGTCAGTACAGCAACTTATGAAGCTTGACTTTCTTTAAGGCAGTTACAAAACATTTTTCATTTTAAACTGGGCAATGATGATATTGACAACTATTCTGCATGCCCTGTCCTGTCTCTTCCTGGAGTATCTCAAAAGTCGGGATCTCTTAAGGTATAAAGAAGAAAGAGATTAAGAGATATATAGTAATAAGCTTCCCTAAATTACAAACATCTTTTTTCTTTTCTGACTATTCTAATTACACACATAAATCCACCACTTGGAAAAATACACTTCCAGACATTTCACTGAAAGCTTCCAGAGATTATCTCAAATTTGTCCTTCCACAAGATAAAGGGTTCTCACTTACTGCCTACAGTAAAACTAACAACCATAGCAAAACCAGAACCCATTTGCTTCTTGCAGGATTGAGAACTATGCTCACAACCACAAGAGTTGTTTATATAGAAACAAGGTAATTGTTCGGGGTTACATACATCACAAGTCCTGCACACATCTACCAGCAGGCTGACAAATTAAACAAGACTTCAGTGAAGAAATTAAAACTCGGATCACAAAAGATGAAAACAGAGCAGTCAGGAGTTCGTGAGGTAAGCAGGAACACAGATTGCAAGACTTCAAAAGACCTGCCCTGGAACAGGGAGCCCAGCCACTCCACCTGTCTTTAGCATCTCAGGTGGCCAGACACAGTATTCCCACTGCACACTGCTCAAACTCCAGCTTAAACATGGATTTTTGCTTTTCCTCCCACTCCAGGCAGGCTTCTGCAGTTCATGCTGTAAACAAAACACTCAAAGCCACCCACCTCTGTCCACATTAGCGCGCAGAGATGTGAGCATGCCCTCTGACACCAGAGTTTTATAAAGAGCACCTTTGCAAGATCTCTCCGATTTCCTGGAGCCACAGGTTTCTATCTTTTTAACACAGTCACTGTCCTCAGTTTTGACCTGTTCTGGTAAGCTTTGGGGTACCACCTCCTCTGTTGGGGTCAGTGGTTCCACTTTAATGTTATCAGAAGCCTCACACGGTACTTCCTTGCCGGCTTCAATACTTAGGAAATCGGGAAGCTTGGATTCTTTGGTGGTCTCCACTGGTTTCTCCTTTGATGTTTTCTTTTCTTTCGATTTCACTTTTTTCTTTGGTGATTTTGTATCCAACATGCTTCCCTTCACATTTGAGACAGGGCGGTTTTTTTTGCGGGGAGTATCCGCGAGTCTCTCAGCACCCCAGTCCCCCTTGGCCACGGCTTCAATTGTGTACATTACACTTTCAATGTCCGACTCGGAGGACTGCCTCTTTTTACAAGATTTTTTGGGGGTGGATTTTTCATTCGTGTGCCGGTCCAACTTATTTTTTTTCTTTTTCTTCTTTATCTTTTCTGGCTTTAGCCCAAGGATAGTCATGTCACTCATGAAAAGCTCTGGAGAACGGCACAGGTGATCCTTTGTGTTATCCTTCCTCTCAAAAGGACTGTTTTCCATTGCAAGACTAGTAAATTCTCTGCATTTTGCAGTTTCTGATTCCTCAGCTTTTGTTTCATCTGGGTTTTGCATTTTTTCTATCTCTGATTGTTCTACTTTTCTATTACTGGAGTCTTTTACTGTTGTTTTCTCCAGTTCTACTTCCATGTCCTCTGAAACTTCCCCTTCCTCATCTTCCAGTGCTTCCACTTTTGTTTTCCCAGGTTCTTTCACTTTTACTCCTTCTGAAGCAAGGCACATCTAAAATAAGTTTAAAAACAGTCCCATGAAACAAAAATCTACTGTTAACATTACTTATACTAACAGGAGCGTTTAACAGGGAATCTCTCTGGCATTTTAGTTTAGGAAAGCAAACTGTGCTACAGGACCGTACTGAAAAACAGGCTGAAGACATGCTGAAACTGATGCAGTGGGATGAGGGCTAAGTGCTAGAATAAGGCTGGTAGGTTCATTGCTCTAACAGAAAAAGACTCCAGCTGATCTCAGTGGTGTTTCCTTTAAAGCTCTTTATATCATTTGGAAACCCACTACCAGACAGATTTTCACAATATATGAAATGCAACAGAACAGAGTTATCTCTGACTACTACATCCGTTCCCCCTTCACCTTTCAAATGTCCCTAATACAATTCCTTTCTCCATTTTCCAAATGGCCTTGAAGGAGGGAGGGAAAAATGTTTACTGAATCTCCCTGAGATTATTATTTTTTTTTTTTACTTGAATGTAGGAAATAATTTGGAAGGTAGTACAAAAGCCTTCCAAGTCTTTCTTCTCATGTCACAGACTTATTTTGCAAAGAACTCCAAAGCAGCAGTGGTTGCCATGGTTATCTCCTCCTGGAGATAACACTAATGGAAACCAAAATCCTTATACTATCTGAGGAACATCGATATTCAGAAAACGAGCTGTCAGAAGGTCCTCCAACTGCCATGTTCCTACAGCAATGACTTAGGAGATCCTCTCTGGTTTGGATCACCTGTAAGCTATGTGGACACGTCTACAGAAGGTAGTCCTTCACGGCACCAACCAACAGCCCTTAGGAAGACATGCTTTGTTCTTACTGTCCTCTCTCAAAGCCCTCAAGCTGAATTCCCAGTGCAGTTTTGTTTTTAGAACAAATGTCAACCAGTCACCTGGAGCAAAACCAGATGGAAGAGGCTTGCTTTGAACCAGACATCAGAAGTTGTCCCCACAGCTTCAGCCCACAGCTCAGCCCACAGGCCATGTGGTCAGTATGGATGTACCTCCCCGAAACACATGGGTTCTCTTTAGGTCCATTTTAGATTTCTCAAATTGGCAAGGCTTTTTTTCCTTGCAAACTAAAAAAGGTCTCATACCAATTTATATAAGAACATAACACCAATGATTGGGATGTTTTTGTAGCAGGTTTCCAAAACTCTTGCTACCCAAGGTAGAAATTACTGATCTGGTTCAGGACAAGCTGGGTTGAGCACTGTAAAGCACCAGAGCTTGGGCAATACACAGTATCTATTGGGAAGCAGGTTAGACTAGGCAAAGGAGAACTCCACAACAGTGCTGATGTGGGTTCCTGGTACAAAGGTACTTCTGTGACTTTTTTACTACACTGCAATGTTAAGCACAGCCTGTGATTTTCAAAAGCTAAAGCTCAATCTTTAAGATGGAGCTCACTGGACTAAGAATATTTTGTCAATTCAACATACATTCCATAGCCAATGGATTTTTTTCCTTTTATACATTTGCTTCTTCTGCAGTAGCCAGTATTACAGAGCTACAGATGTGGCTACAAAAAAAGTGACTTCTGTCTTGTCAGCAAACAAACTTGTAATTAAACAATCTTCAAGACTGGGAAAACTTAAAAAAAGTGTTTAGAAACAAAAAAAAAAGGGCAAAATTTCAATGAAGTGTCATTGGTTTTAACTGCTCCCAGAAGGAAGATCTGCTGAGAGTACCACAGCAAAACTTCTATGTAAGTTATTGACCTGTTAGTTCACCTGAAAAATAAAATGGGCATGAAAAGCAAAATAAATGAAAGCAGCTCATGACCATTAACATGAATTTGTAATGGCAATGCCTGAATTTCACAACACAGCCATCCAGTCCTCTCTCTCAACTATTTGTGTCCCTCAGCTAAGCCCTAAGACCTCAAAGCCTAAATAAGAAACTGAATCCAGGTCAGTTGCAACCAAGTCCCTTTGCCACCAGGAATTGGTGGTACTTCTTAACTGCACCAGACTCTTAGAAACCTCTAAGTTGATGGCTAATCTGGGGAAATCTTGACTTGTGGCATCTGAGCCATGATAATTTATGGTTCTATAAGCAGCGGTGCAATTATAACTGTATCACTGTTCTGCCTTGCAGACTTTGGCAATCAACAGCTTTAACTTCTCCACCCCACTGCACCTGGGGCAATTAGTCACCATGTTTTAGTATTACCTCTGCCAGCTGAAATAATGCTGATGTTCCACACTGTTTTGTTAAATCAGAAGGCCCTGAATGGGATGTACTTGAAGAAATCTATGGAGAGAAAAATCAACACAAATAAAACAGTCTTTGGTCACTACCAATTCTTTTATGTTTATGACACAGCTTTTCAATGGATTGTTTTCCCCCTTCCTAAAATTAATTCATAAGATTATATACTAAAAAAGAAGTGTAGACCTGCACATGCTGGCATGAATAAAAGCCCACTGCAGCACTGCTCTGGTGGATAATGCTACTGTACACTAAACAATACTTGCACATTTGGGGCTTTTCTTGTCAGGACTCCCTTTGAGGAACAGCATGAACTGAAACACATGCTCTTTCACACAGGAACAGACTCCAGCAGTTAAGCAACAATCTACACTAGCATGCAACCCAGCTGGTGGTGTTTTTTAAAGGCTTAGCAGGACACTGAATTCCAAAATTTTTAATTATTTCATTATCATAGGTTAAGGAGTCTATTTCTTTCAGGTTATGATATTGCCTTTTGGTGTCCTATAGGACTCATATAAAAGAGATGCCCTGAACCCAAAGTTAAGTAGAAGCCCTCAAGCCTTTGGTAATCTTTAGTATTCCTCAGAATAAAAGGAGGCTGTCATGCAAGCATGTAGCTGATTATCCTCCAGAATATTTTTCCTGTATTAGGCCATGATCCTCTTCAGTACTTTTGAGTGTTTTGTATCAGTTTTGAGCTAGGTGCAAGGAAACGATCTTTTCCTAAACAACTTTAAAAGTATCAGTATCAGGATTGGCCACTAGTATGAAAAAAAAAGTTAGATTTTTAAGAACATATCCCATCATCTCAGACCAGTCTTGTGGGTTTCTTATACTTCCTTCTTTAGGCTGCATAAGAAAATGAATTTATAAGGGACTGGGGAACCAAAGTATTTACACCCTTTTGTCTCTCCCTGTACCCACAAACTCAGTTTTCACTGCTCTCAACCAACATGGGCCTACAAAGTTGATTGCAGAATTTGGCCTGTTGCTGCCATAAAGGAAATAAACAAAAACCAACACTGTCTCTACATCTCCTGCAAGGCGCAGCTTCTCACAGCACCTCCCCAGCTCTGACCATCAGCGCTCAGGTCTCCACATGCTGCTGACAGCCAGGTGCTGCTAGTGCTGTGCAGTGGCCTCCCTGCCTTGGTGAGGTGATGCTCCACTCCTGCACCGCCTCCCTTTGCTCTCGTGCCTCCACATGGAAGACTAAAGACAGGAAGGGACTCAGCAGAGCAACAGTCTCCCAGGCTTCAGAATGCAGAGTGGCTCCAACCATTTTTAGAAACTTAGAAATCCTCAGAAGTTTTAGAAAATAATTAAACCACCTTCTGCATTTTATTTTAATCACCATCTGTGAAATATTGTGAAATATCTAAAAGGAAGGGATAGGGAAGAGAGGGGGAAAAAAAGAAGATAAAATTGTTTAATCTATATAGCAAAGAGATGAAGGAGGAGCAGAGCAATGTAGTATGCTGAAGAAGACAGGCTCCCACACACCAGACGCTTGCCATGCCAGCAGCATGGAAACAGTAGTCCCCTCCCTTGCACAGCATCTGCAGTTTGGAGTTACAGCAGCACAGCACAGCTGTCTGCCAAATCCACATACAAACCTAAGACACCCTCGAGGTGATTAAAAACATGGTTTTTGGTTTATTTGGGATACTCCAAACAGGGACTGAACTGCTATCTGAAAACTTCAGCTGAATCTCTCACATGTCTTTTATTCAACTATGACCCAACATTAGAGATCTCCAAAACTGGGGAAAAAAAGAAGAAAAAAATCCATAGCACTGATGTTCTACAAGAGCTAGAGACATAGAAGATGTGCCTAGCACATCTGCTGTGTTTTTCCCTGTTTGAATCAGAGCCTTTAACGGCCATTTTGTGTATTAAATTAGGCTTGCAGGACACCATCTGAGCAATCACTGAGAGATCACGGAAACCTGTCCAACATACAATGTCATGCTGCCAGACTTAGCTTCACTTTTTCTGCCACCTGCAGTACAAACTGTGCACTCCTGTGGACAAGCATCTGTCCTACTAAATTAGGGCTTCACAAGCTTCATAGTCACATCACAACTTCTAATGCTGACTTCTAAAAATAAGACTGCACACAGTAATAAGCCTTACTCCAGAACAGCATTACTCAGCCTGCTGCTGTCCTGTTAGAGGACATGTTAGAAACTTCTGGTGTCCCTGAGCAAATACTACCAGCCCCTCTGCTGCCCAGAGCTGCAAAAGCCAAATACCCTTATGGATCACTGACCACAGTTGGGTGTAATCACCCTTGCACAGACACTGCTGGCAATAGAGCACATAGCCACAAACTCTACTACTGCCAGAGACTGCCTGTACAGTAAGGCAGATTTTCTTCCACTCATTTAAGTTCCTATAAAGCCACAGTCTTGCAAGACTATCCATAGAACAACACATGAAATACTTTCATTTCAATGCTTCCAACCTCTGCCTTTTTCCTGAGAGGGACTGATCTCACCAGCAAGAATATAGGGCTGGCTGCAACTAGACAGGATCCAGAGAACCATTTTCCTTACTGAAATAGGATGTGAATTTGAAATAAAAAACAGAAACACCACAACAAAAACCAACAAAAAAAAAGTGTACAAGTAATGTGCTAGCATACTCCCTTATTTGTCTGGAATACAGCATGTATCTTCATCTTTCAGTCTTCACAAAGAATAGCATCTGCACATCAAACCTCAGAGATTTTTGAGTGTCTCATCCATATCAAACAGAAGACCTCTACAACTTTATATTTAAGACTCACAGAGAATTTCTAGGACTTTGAGGAAATCTGACCCAGCATTCTTGATTACTGCTGACAGTTGCCAATTTCAGAATTTAATACACTGCATCAACTTTCAACTCTTCACACAGATTCCTGATGACCTCAAAGTCTACTCTTTTCCTGTTCTCAGTCCCTGATTAAGCAATGCACCTTGCAATCATCATAACTAAAGCTTTATTTTTTTAATCCTGGTATGCAGCTCCTCATTAAGAATACTGTTATCTTCTGTCTTTGCTGTTCTCCTGAGCATTGTTTTTATTACCGTTATAGAGCTACATTTCCTAAAAAGAAGTGTAACTTTCTGTGCTATCTCTAAGAATATAAGTACATTCACAAGTGTCTAAAAGACTAGATCCCTGGAACCATAGCCACTGCCTACTTCTCTTGGTATGTCATTATTTACTAATCTATTTTTCTGGAAACACCAAATTTGATACTAGAGCAAACCTTAAAAAATTCATACTTTTTTTGTGGGAAAGTTATACACATCCTCCCCTTCTGAGACTAGTGGGTATAACTTTACCTCTGCCAACTGGAAGAGTGCCGACTTCCCACAGTGCTTTACTGGCTCGGGACTTGGCAATTGGGAAGTATTTGATGAGATCTAGGTTACAAATGAACAGAGAAGAAAATATGTCAGTGGCACACAGGAAAGACAGAAAGGGAGGGGAAAAAAAAGAATGGAAAATAAGAGATTAGTTAAATCAGTTCATTTTAGTTCTTTCTGGCAGAAGGCCCTACTTCAGAGAGGCAACCCCACCCTGTTAAGAAACACTTAACAGATATGTAGAAAACAGGAGAATACAAGCAAATACCACATTCCTTCCTTAGATTATGCTCATGGATACTCTATGTTTGTACTGTCCACAGCTAATATTCACGCTGTGTGTTTCACATCTGTTTTATGTGACCAAGTGAACAAATCGTACCTGTTGCTTAAAAATATGCCCTATTAGTTGTTAAGGTTAAATAAAATTCTCCAGAAGGTCTGGGCAGTATCTCCTATTATTTAGACACAGACAAGGACCATCTATCTGTCCTCACAGGCAGTTCTTGTTTCGCTTTCTTTAGTTATGAAAAAGGAAGTAAGACCTATGTCTGGAGATTAAATCTAGCCTTCCAAAGAGCTGTTGGTGTGCCAGCACCTCTAATAAGTAAATAACTACCATTACCACTTTAGGGAATTGCTTTTACAGCAAATTTTTTTCAGACCCGCTTTCCAGTGCAGCATTATGAATTCAGAAATCCAAGAATTTTCTGATATGTGAGCTTTTTTTGGCTTGGCATGGCATTGCATGGTAGTATTTGACTTAGAAGCCTTTAAAAGCTTTGGGACAAAATCATCAGTGTTTCTATGGTATCTCCCTCACCACAAAAATCACACTTAGGACCATGATTACACAGGTAGTGACAGGACAAGGCAAATGGTTTTAATGTGAAAGAGGGCAGGTTTACGGCAGATGTTACAAAAAATTCTTAACTCAGAGGGTGGTGAGGCACTGGAACAGGTGGCTCAGACAGGCTGGTGTTCAGGGCCAGGCTGGATGGGTCTTTGAGAAACCTCATCGAGTGGAAGGTGTCCCTGCATGCGGCAGGGGGGTTGGAACAAGATGAGCTTTATGGTCCCTTCCAATTCAAACCATCCTATGGTTCTACGATCTTCCACATGCAAAAATTATCATGTTTGCCTTTCTCCTTGTAATGAATTCTTTCTTTTGAACTAGGTTATTTGAAGAATTTAGCTTTCAATTACCTGTAAAAAAATTTATTATTATACTCTCCATGACATCCTCCTCCACCAAAATCCAGGACATCCATTTCACTTAAAGCTATTTAAATACAGCAAATAATACTCAAATGTGCATTAGCAGTAATTTTTAATATTAAACTGAAATATTTCAACATCCTAGTTTTGCTTTGAGACAGTTCAGTGAACCTGCTCAGGACCCCACTTGACAAAGTGATTTTGTACACTGAACTTCAACTTTTTATCTTTCTATTTTAACAAATGCTCATCTCAATCATTTTTTTTCTGCATAACATGAATGGCAGAAAAAGGACAGAACAACACCCACATGCACTGAATTATAACTTGAGAACATACAGGCATATCTTGCCTCTTGATGCAGAAAGTGAGGAAACAGTAACAAGACAAACAAAATGTGAGATCTTTATAGTACTAAAATAAAGAGAGGAAGCAGACACTTCATATCAGAAAAAAACAAACCCCAACCTTTAAAGAGCTAAGGAAACAAACAGCAAGTGACAGAAGCATATAACTCATTCTGATGAAGTTAGTGGCCAAACATCAGAAGGAAAAGAACGGCTGATCAATCAGCTCTCAGTGAGATTACAGATCCCATTATCTGTCTTAAGAACATCTCCCAGACTTAAGATTAATCAGAATCTCCAGAACTACAACTACAAACAGCCCTTTAGTTATGTAGAGGTTTAACTGGAGGATCATTAGGATCAAGTTACTATCTTTTATTACAGTACAGGTGGGACTTGAGCTATTATATTACATTTTAGTTTGCAAAAGAAACTTCATCTTCCTCCTAGAACAGGCATTTTCATCTTCCTCCTAGAACTACTGTTTCATCTTCCTCCAACACAAACATTTAATAATTTCAGTATGTGGGCAAACAGCAAATACATTTTTCTTTACCTGGGAAGATTACAGCTTTACATATGGAAGCTGGAAGAGAAAACACTCACTAGTTTTTACACTTCAAATTTCAAGGTATTTTGACCAAAAGTTTTGGAAGCTCAAACTTCCTGTTCTACACAGAAATAAACAGAGAGCAAACCTTCTCAAAGTGAGTATGTAAGAATGCAGCATGGACAAAATCCTCCCGAGTCATGCTTTTTTTCTTAAATGAAAGTAACATGATGGACTAGCAAAAAAAAAAAAATCTACCTTGTTGCATACTGCATGTGACTGGTTTTGTTTTGGTTGGTTTGGTTTTTTTTTTAAATTAAATCACTTTGAGAAAAAATTCAGAAAAGCTGCTGAAAGCAAAGAGTTTGGTGGTAGTGGATTCATTTTATTTTTAAGATGGTTGAACTAGCAATTCTTTTGCTTCCATACCCCAGAAGCCTTTTCTTTAATAATGAATAAGAGTTTAGGAAAGTAAATCCAAGAGGTACTCATCTTTCCTCTCAAGGAAGCAATCACCACCATCTGTTCACATTTGCCAAACACAGATGCAGTAAGACCAAGAGAGCAAGGGGTCCCATCTGCTCTGCTTCCCTCTCATGGCAAGGAAGGGGACAGTGACCAGTCCCTGTGAGCAGACAGCCTGCAAACAGCCACTGCCCTAAGGAACACGGCCCACTGCTCAGAAATCACAGCCTTTCCATACAAGCTCAAATGAGAAGGACAAAAGTAGGGCCAGCTACTTGCAAGGTCAGAAGCAGAGAAAGCCAAAAGCATAACTCGACAACAATCCAAACTTCAAAAAGCACTTATGAGGATGTCATATGATCTTTGAAGACCTCCAAGGCACTTGCCTGTACACCCACAGAACCGAATGAAGTCTTGCTTCCAGGATTTACACCATGTGTTGTGGCAAGTCACTGAGCAGGCCTCATTAGGCATATCCTGAGCAGCTTTAATTGACAACTACAGCACTTGGGCTAGACAACCAGACGAAAGACTAACTGAGGCTGTAAAGACAAAAAGAATCCCATGCTATTCTACACATAATGAGCTGTTTCTGAGTGACAGGGCACTTGTACTCCGGGGGTAAAGGTGTCTGTTTTAAATGACAAACCTACTCAATGGGATTGCTGTCTTCACAAAGAGGCACCTCTTACTCACCCTGCTGCAAGGGCGGTGAAGAGAAAGGCAACATATGAGGAACACCCAGCTAGAACCAAAACTGAGCTGGGATGGCTGCCAGAAGTCTCCAGGCACATCAGACCAGAGCACACTTCATATTTCTTCACAGGTCTACTTGGCTACTGGTTAAATAACTACTTTCTCTCCTTCTCTTTTTTCTTTTGTAGCACTGTACGTTGATGACAGCAGCCCACTGCAAATTGCTTGCCATAATTTAGTTCTCTAAATGCAGTAATGTGTTCATATAGACAAGATGCAGTAAGAGGTGGCACAGTAAGGAACAGGACTTTTGCCAAATTTCACAATGACAGCCTGCGCAAATGAAAGCCCTTATAGCTGAAAGAGCACAAGCAGCTTTAATAGCAGGGGAGAAAGCTTAAAGAGGTTCTGTAACATGCTCAATACTTTCCCCAGGAGCAACCTAAATTAAATAATCAGACTACAAGCTTAGAAAAAACGTCATTTCTCTACTGCTATAGATAAAAAATGATGTTCATCACTGTCATTAAGGTTTCACAGGAAGAATAACCATGGCGAAGGTGGGTTTTTAATTTTTTTTTCCTCTTTACTAGATTTCTGTATCCTATTTCCAGCCACAGAACAAAATCAACCCCTCCAGACTGCACACACATTTAAATATTTTTACAAGAAAAAGAGATTAACCCTGACTCTAAAACTGTCCTCAGTAAATCCTAGTTAACTTTCTAAGCACCTCTTCTACATAGCATTCATATGCGTACTCCAATGTGCCAAAGGAGCTCACTCAGCATAGTGGAATGCAACTCAGCGCAGTATCACATCCGTATGACAATTTTCAGGTTTGTCATTTTGTTTGTTCAATTAGGAGATTAAATAGTCTTAGGTTCTGTGAAATTCTGAGAGTATGGCTAAGCCAGGTTTTATATGACAATTTAAGAATGTTGTACTAAATACAATACATACTCTGTTCAACTCCGCAAATACCCAGAATTACTTGAGATTTTTGCAACTAAGTTAGCAGATTCACTTTGCAATAAAATTAACAAGAAATGTTCTCCAGTTTGTATCCTTTAACTTGATTTAAAAGTCTAGCTTCAGCACATAGTTTCATCCTGCTCAATTCCACTGATTTTCTCAAAAGAGCTTTGCAAATTGACTTCTAACTTTCAAAGCTGTGGTACATATGAAAACACCTTCATGATTAGAGATATTAACTGCATTGTATCTTTTATAGGAATGTTTGTAGCTAGGTATTTTCTGGCACCTGAATCAGTAAATTGATTTGTCTTCCTTGGCCGCCGAAGAAAACACTAAGGCCCATTCCAGCCACACTAAAAAAACATAGCAGACAATCAGCTCAACATGTCACAGAAGGAAGAGCATGAAACACAGAATAACAATCAGGGTATCTTTTAATCCCTTTATGCTCCTCTGCAATAGCACCAGCTCCAATCCCAGCCTTTTCAGTCACACACAAAATGCACCTGCGGCTTAAATGATTCTGCAAGCAGTACCAGACTCCCCCAAATGGGCAAGAAGAGTAAATGTGTGGAAAGTCAATTCACAGACGCATATTCAACACATGGGAGAAGAAATTCCTAAAAGCAGCACTTCCCAAACTCCCAATCTTCAATATGTAGAGGAAGGCAGAAAGGCTACATACTTATGGGAAACTGATAGGCTTGATAAGTCACCACCTAACTGATGCTGTTAAATATCCTTGCGGCTGGTGTGATAAGCTTCCTTTGACCTGCAAGGATTCTCCAAATGATTCCTGCCTCTAGGACAATCACCATTCTGCCCTGCTGCAGCTTCTTCCACAGGCAGTGCAGTGTCATTTCAGAATGTCTTTTAATTGCTGTTTTCCTAGATGTAAAGGACATTTGGACAGTAAGTCTGCAGTGATCCTTTGGGTATGGAACTGTTACGTAATGTTCACAAGCCTAGTATCTCTCAGCTGGTAGAACTGGCCAACATCTGATCCAGTCACTGGTTATTCACCCCATGGTTTTCTTAACACAATACTGTCAGGAAGATACACATCTCCTGATGGGAATCTCTGATAACACAGGGTGCTTAGCCATTCAGTGGCAACTCTTAGGGTTCCTTGCTTCCTCCCATCCTCCCCCACCACATTCAGCCATTGTACCTCAGCAAACTGAAACAATGCAGACTCCTCCGTTTGTTTTAGTGCCCCCAGGACTCCAGGCTGTGACGTGTTGGAAGAGATCTGTCAGGAAAACAATTATGCTTGTATTACCTAACTGTTCAGTTTCAGTATCACACTTCAACATGCTAAATTTATAATCTGTCATAAAAAGATTCCTGGTACTCCAGAGAATGTAAACGAGTCCCAACTCACCCTTAGAACAAACTGCATCTGTTTTTCAGGAAACACATAAACAGGTGATCTGTGAAATGGTAATCCTGAATTATTTTTCAGAAGGAAAATCCTTCCTAGGATCTACAAAATAAGCTTTTTTTGAAGGGTTTTTATTTGCCTGCTGATATATCAAAGGAGGGTTAGCAACAAATACTTAAGCCTGTATTGTATTTTACAGTTCAGTTCAGTGGAAGACCTGAGACTGCAGAATGGTGGTGATGACAGAGCACAAATTGCTACTTAATACAGAAGGTGAAGTGTGGACAGAAACACAATGTGCTCAGGTATTTTGAGATACCAGATCTATCCTACACACTAAGTTAACTGCATTTCATACTGTTTAACTTGTGTCAATTAGTTTTGTTGCAAATGACACCTCTGATTAATGTTAGACTTCATGGCAAGTATCAGTTATTTTGCCACTGACACACATACCTACCATGCACTGGTTAGGTGCACCCTCTCTACAGGATGTTTAACATCCTTGAAAAATAAGACTAGCTAATTTGCATTTCTAATTACTGATCATCAGTAGGCTACTTCTAAACCACATGCTTTAGCAATGCAGGTGAGCTTGTTTCCCAGCACCCACTAAAAATTTTCTTCGATGGGTAAGGAAAAGCCTGAGGTCAGAAACCCTTAGCAAGGGCATATCTGGCAGCACACAATTCCTGCCTACTACCACATGCATCTGGCACCTCCCTCCTTTGGCACTGTAAAATGAACTGAAACAATTAGGTGAGCTGGTATTTGTCTTACTCTTTAAAAGATTCAGCAGTGAAATTCAATACAAGACATTGTTCTACTGATAGTATAAGCACACAGAAGCATCTCAGAAATATGGGAAGATGGATATTGAATCATTACCACAGAAGTGTCATAAGTGATACTGGAATTAACCAATTCTAAGAGGCATCTAAGTATTGCTTTTCATTGCTGGCACACCAGGCATTTCCTCTTCCTAACAAGAAAAGCCAGCAGGCTGTTTAAGAGCCTAATTACAGGTTATCTACTTCACTCTGGCCATTATCTTTAATCAGAAATAAAGGATCAGTGCTCCAATTTATTTCTAACACATTCGAAAGACCCAGATCTTAAGCTGGAATTCAAGGGCTTGTGCACTGATGTTAAAATGTCCAACTGAAAAAGAAGTCCCATTTCTTGTGTGCTAGGATTGCAATGTATCTGCTCCCAAAGTGATGATCTTTTAGGGAGGAGTATGAAAGTGCACAAGGCCATGGGTAATAAAGACACACAAGTCAGATTCACAGCTGGTGTGAATACAGGTAATAAAAAGCCCTCACTACGACAAAATTTCTTTCCATATACACTTACTTAAAAACTACCCAGTGTCTTGTAAAATCAGTACCTATACAACTAAATATTTGTGTCATGTATTATGACTATTTCAAGAAACAAGTGATGCTTGCAGAGGGCTAGAGTTCCTTGCAATCTCATTTTTGTCAAGTTATTTAGATCTGTGAAACCCATTAAGACTTGGATGAAACTTTCTTCAAAGAAAAAGAACAACACACACCACAGTTGCACTTCTAGCGATAACTGGAGTAGGTTGACAAAAATATTGTACACTGCAAAATTAAAGCACACTTGCATAGAGCTGTTTGGTGGTTCTAGAAGAAAATTTTGGAGATTTAAGAACTAGAATGATTTTTGATGGAGCCGATGACTAAAGCAGCCACACTAGATTAGAAACATCCAAACATATGTTAAAACCTTAGTTAATAAGGCTCTAGTTTAAAACTAAGTGCAGGAATGACATTATCTCCAAATTACAGCTTAAACCACAGCTCCATTATTGCACTTTGGTTTCCACCAGGGTCCTAAACACACTCTCTTGCACTTCAAGTCTTACCAACCTGATAAATGATTCAACAGCATAAAACCAAAAATGAGGCAACAAATAAAAGCACCAATTTTAGTTAAAGACATTTGATTTTTCTTTCAGCTGGACATCAGATGCTTCTTAAAAGGATACACTTAGAAGAAAACCCTTTTTTAAAGAAACTCACCTCTGCAAGCTGAAACAATGATGACTTCTGACAGGCTTCTGTAGAATTAGATGTATCAGACTGGCAAGTACTGGAGGAAACCTGGAAAAGGGAGAGTGCAGGCTAAGACCTCAAAGGTGCTTCCCTCAAGCTAAAAACAACAGTGAGCAAAATAAACCATTTAAGAGAAGAAGGACAAGCCAATGTCTCACAGTCCTGGAAAGATTAAATCATATTTACAGATGAAAACATTGCTTAGCGCTCATTGTAATGCATTTGAAAACTGTCTTAGAAAAAAAGACCACAAAAATGCCACGCATTTCTTCTCCTTTTATGATTCTGAACTTGTCAGAATAGTTTTATACAATGGAATACCAATGGATTATACTGAACTGCACACGTAACTATCTTGTATTGGTGATGCTATCAACACTGCTATATCTGTAATTTGTGCTATAATTCTGAGTAAGATTACATAGAAGGTAAAAAAATATTTTGAAGACACAGTTGATGACAGGAATACTAATTAGAAAAATAATCTCCAATCATAACAGCATGAAAGTAAGTAGATAAGGGTAGCACAAGCCTAAAATTTCTCAAATCATGTACCTAAACATACATTTTAGAGGTGCTTTTGAGAAGCGGTGCAAGAAAGTCATTATAACTGAAAATAAAATACAAAGAAATGACTGTTCACAACCAAAAGCCTCATTTAAATTAACACAGATCTCAGCCATGGTAATCTTATTAGCTAGAAATGTGTTAATCAAGCATTACTCTGTAAAGGAATTCTATCAAATATGATACATTCATTAAGTGTCACATTTGAGTGTAAAAGATTTGCATGTGTAACTCCTAGGAGAATGAAGTACTGTTAGTATAAAATAAGGTATGTAGCACGGCTTGTAAGAAACAGAGAAAAGGAAGGAGGCTTTGTAAGATTTTATAAAAAGGAACAGGATGGAAATTTTTTCCCTAGCAACTTTTTTCCCCTCAAAATATCAGTTTACTTAACAAATTCAAAAATAAACGTGGGCCTTTTTCTTATTCATTACCTAAACAAGTAAATCAACAGCTTTTATTGGTGAAAGCACATGAGATTTAGCTACTGACTGCACCTGATAGTAAGCACAAAGCCTCACAGCACATGCAGCTTGCCCTGCTGCTCCTTGTCTGAGATCCCGAAGCACTGCAATAGCAACAGCAGCATTTGCCTTCAGGAATCTGCTACCCACGCTCCCCTGGAAACACAAAATCCAAGTGCAGCAACCCAGAGGACAAGGGGAAATTCACCGACGTGACAATTTGCTTGCATATATAAACAAACTTGTTTCTTCCCTGCCATAAACCCGATCAGCATCAGTGACTCCTGTGATCTGTATTTCCACTGTATTTAATAAACACTGAGCAGGATGTTTTATTGGTGTACTACGGGAGTACACCAACCCAAAGGGCCATAAAGAATGTATTTCTAATGTTGGTCTTCTGCCCTTTTGGTAGGTTTTCCTACTGTTTTCACTGACTTAATGTTTATTACTGACTTTTATTATGTTTCTGTACAGTCTGTTTAAGATGTCTGTGCCTCAACAGTAGTCTGGACTATTACCAGAAAAGTATCTGGCTGCTTTTGAGAGACCCATCTCTGAAGGTGTGAGACTCTGCAGAGGTGCAAATATGTACGGTTGCTGCTTGCATGTCTGGGCATTCATTTGGTCATTTTAGGCCTCTTCACTGGTGGGATTCTTAAGAGAATAACCAAATTTTGGACTTGTTTCCCATATTTTCTGCAGTTCAACCAGCTGCCTTATACTCCTCTGCTCCGATTTTGGAACCATTGAGCCATGGACCCCAGAAGCACCGTGCTGGAGTGGCAGTGCCCTTCCAAGAGGGGCTATCTGGGCTCAGCCCCCACAATACAGGTGCTGTCAGACACTCAGGATGAGCCTTCTCACTGCCTCGGATGCCACGTGCTGGGGGCTGGGCACAGCTTGTACACCTGGTGGTACCAGAACCATTTGCTGTGGGAGGTGTGAAGCCCAGTTTTCTACGGGTTTGTGTGTAGAGGACAGATTGCTGGTGCTCAGTAGCTCAGTGGAGGTTTTGTGGTTGGAACCACTATGCTTTTCCTATAAATTCCTGCTGCTCTTTAAAAAGTTAATGCTGTCGCTTTTACTTGGCAGAACACTAATTAGAGCTTTTTCTTCTACTCTGCTGCTCCCTAAGCATTCTTGACCTGTGGGAAACTTATTATCTCCAGGTCTTCTACCATTTGTCAGATTGAACCTGGTCAAAGCATTAAAATAATCACCAGAAGGAACAGATGCACTGATAGTGCCATTTTGTATGTCTCATTTCCTGCTCTAATAAAATGTCCTCAACATCCCATTTCTTTCTCCAAGCCTTCTCTTGAGCTGCACTGAGAGATTTTTCACTTCTGAGTCACCCTTTGCACAGACCCTGCATCACATGTAAGAAAGCCTTTTGCTCCCAAAAAGAAGGAAACCACATGCCTTCCTTTCCCTGCAGGTTACCACAACCTGCTCTGAAACGATCACAGCGAACACGGGCGGAGGAAATCGCTGGGCCGGCCGCACCCTGACCGCTGCGAGGCGCAGGTAGACAGGCAGCCTTCGGAGGCCGCTCCGGATTTCGGGATTTCTGGGCAGTAACCTACAGAGAGTCCACTAGGTGCTGCTGTAAGGCAAGGAAAGGGCCTGACGGACGAGTACGGGATTTGTGCAGGGAGGCGAACGGGTAAGCAAGGAGCGCTGCTCAGCCGGCTTCAGCCTTGCTGCCAGTAACCTGCGGCGAGGACCGGGCTTTGCCTGGCACAACCACAGCAGCTGGAGATGATCCATCCGGCATCTCTGCTCAGGTGTTTAGTAAAATATGCTCACACACCACTGTCTTGCGTAACTGATGAAAGCATCCAAAATGCAGGGGGAAACTCACTGCATATCCACGTCCTCTGCCTGTAAGGTCTGTAGCTTCTCTTGCCTATCGGCTTAGTAACTCCAGCTGCTGCCTAGAAATCTACCACCCACCGACACTGAATTTTGTTACCAGAAGAGAAACTCTCTAATCCATTACAAAAATTTGCAAAATTGGGAACATATTGGCAACATACAGAGATTGCAACTGAAGCCTCAAAACAATTTTGTAAATATGACTGTTGTGCCTCTTCCCACCCTCCTGCTGGCTGGTCACTCGGTCACCTGACATCTGGGCTTCTTACAACTTGGAAGATTGAACACCTCACTTGAAAAACCCCTATCCATTCATTTAGCATACACTTGCCAGAACATCATCAGGTGTTGAATACTTTTTATTGGATTAGCAGACCTCTAACTACAATGTCCTTCATCCTCTCTTAAGTGCTGAGCAAAACTGTGCCAGTGCTGCCCTTCCCCCTGTTAACAACTTTAAAATTGTAGGAGTGTGTAAGACCTATGCTTATAAGGCCACCCAACATATGCACAGCAGTCAATATGCATGTTGACAGCTAATCCTGTGTCTGCCAGATCCCCAGTTTAAGAACCATATATGTGTACAAGCATCTTAAGTGTATACACACACTTTCATGATAATTTAGACTACATGTGATAATTTAGAACATTCTTTAAAATATGAGTGTCTGTCCTTTTTCTAAAAACAGAAATGCCAAGGTTTTAGATGTACAATGTGCATTTGTATACGTATGAGCATATAAAAACAATACATACATTCTCCATAATAAAGCAACTTCTGAACCTCTTTCACTAACCATACCTCTGTAGTCACCTTAACACACCATATTTTCTCCCATGTGAATACCAACTCTAATACAACACAACTGACTCTTCCTCTCCATTCAAGAACAAAACAGCTTCCAGCTCTACAATGAATTCTTGAGCTGCTTTCTGAGTCTGTCATACCACCCCCTAGCATGTTCTGCTAACCTCCCAGATGCTGGTTAAGTGTGAGATCATAAGCATGGAAATCCAACCACAGAGTCTCCTAAAGGCATGCAAAGATGACCATCTTACATCTCCTCTGTCTACAAGCTTGAGGGAAGACAGAAGAGCAGTTCAGTTATCCAAGTTTAAACTGATTTAGGATCATTACTGCATTTGAGAAACACATCCCTAAGAAATATTTGCTCTGTATCTATTCACCAGTGAAACCTAAGAAAATAAAGGACAAATGGAAGACACACCAGGGCTGCCACACAAAAGAAACTGAGAAAGTCTCTCAGCACCTGGACACACAGCTGGAGACTTAACTCCTGCAAACACACAATGAAGAGGACTGAGCTTTGTTCATTTGGGTCTGTTTAAGAATACCAATCACCTCAATTGATCTGGAGGAGGTATTTTACGAAGGGGACCCTCAAAAGGATCAGAGATGTGCAGTTTCCTGGGAAAGTGCTCAATTCCTTAACCACTTGCAGGACAATTAAAACAGAGTAACTCATTAGAAAGTATGGGCTAAATCATGGCCCATCACAATTCTAACAATCGCCCAACTAGTTTTGTCTGGCCTGTATTTATGACAATTATTTTGCTCTACATTTTTGGGGAAAGTAGATCACACAGCTTGCTTCTTTGATGTGGAGGGCCAGGTCTCAAAAGAAGACTACATGCCCAGAAGAGTAGAGTGTAGTTTATACATAACGTGAATATTTCATCACAAGTTGTATTACACACTTCTATCAGGAAAACCAGGATTTATTGAGACACACAAGAAGTGTGTCTTTTTGCTCAAAATAAGGAAGTTCTGATTAACTTTTATGCACTAAAGCAATCACACAACATGCCTTTTGATTTGACTCTAAATCTACATGTGGATTTTATTCCTACACTGCCATCTGAAATCATACTACTGAGGCTCTTGCAGAATCAAGACACCTCAGCTCACAAGGTCATAGCAAAGACTTTAGTTAAGGAATGCAATATCTGTGACTAAACTATATCTTCCCTCACATTTAAACATAACAGCATAGTAAAAGCAGCTTGTATGCTCCAAGCTGAGAGATTACAAGTTTGAGAAGGACAGTACAATTTTAGCACAAAATAATGTATTTCTTTTCACTTTTCTGTCAACTTGGCTTGAATGTTTCTTATTTTTCATGATGCAGCACAGAAGACCACTACCCACACAGCATAAAACTTCCATGGCTAAAACTGGTGTGAAAAGCATTGAGGAGTCCTGGCTGTACAGAGGCAATAAATCTCAAATGCACTACACATACAGATTAAGTTAATTATTACTTTTCCTCTCAATAAAACCAACAACAACAACAAAAGAGAGCTCTTTCCTAGAGCTAGAGATTTATGGCAGTACTACTTACTATAGCCAACAAAGAAGCTACAAAAATTGAACTATTTTCAAAGTTGGCCTAAAAACCACATGATATTAATAATCAGTCTAAAGAAAGACTAAAGATCTCTGCACTACTGGAGATATACACAAACACTTACTAGACTCCTTTGTAAAAACACGTTTGTAATGGCAACTAACTACAAACTTCTTTTTAGACATAAGGATTTAGTGAATAGGAGCAGATGCAACACTTCAATTACCTGTTAGCACTTGCAGGGCTTCAGTATATACAATGATGCTGACTTTGGAGGAAATTATTTGTTTATTAATTTGTTAGTGCCAAGGCCACAGTTGTGTCAGGCATTGCACAAGCATATAGAATCCTTGCCCAGAAAAGCTTGCAAACCCCACCTGTTTGTTAACACTGTCACTGTATTTCAACCCTTTTTCCTCTGACAATGTCTCTTCATAGGGCAGGCTTGACTGGTGTGCTCAAGTATCAGCAGAGTTAATACTGAACTATGCTCGACCTACATTCACAGCTGAGATACAAGACACACATTTCATTCCCAGCTGAGGTTGTTATGAGTAGAAAAGTTGTCCATTTTTTAAAGTTGCAGAGTTAACGAGTTAAATCAATTGCTGTTGTTAATAACTTCACGTTGTAATCACCTGTTGTTAATAGTTTTTCTTCAATTACCTGTTAATAGTTAAAAGTCAGCTCAAGTGTTCCCCTGCTGTTTCTTGGGAGATGACACCTGAGGCTGCAGGTAGCAATGGTGGGGGGGGGGGAAGGCGACGTCAGAGCTCAAATCTTGCAAAAAACCCTCTAAAAACAATGAGCCATCATGGAATTAAGAGATCTAAGTGATGTCTAAAGGTGAGGAACTTGATCCCATGTTAGCTGGGATCCTCTCTGCCTCTCACCCTAACTTAAGGAGAGGTCGACTAGAAAGGAGACCTCGAATGTTAGCCTGAAAAGATGGAATCGCCTAATCTCCTGTGAGGATGGAAGCCCCAGCTCTGCCTGCAGACCAGCAGACACAACTGCATCATCCTCCTCCTCCCTGCCACTCCTGGGAACAGCGGCAGCGTGGGCACGACCCATCCGTTTCTCCCCACTTGAGCTGATTTTTTTAATAACGGCATTATAAAGGAGAAAGACCTCCTGCCCATTTTATTTCAAGGTTACCTGAGATGTGTCCTAACTTTCATTCCTCACTGGTCAAATATTCCTCTTACAAGCTCTTTAAACTGAGACCTCACAGTAAGGGAGAGAAGAGAGTTCCTTACCTCTTGCGCAGTAAGTGCATGTTCCCCTGCTAGAAGCAGCATACTCAGGCCTCCCATTTGGGTAGGATCTGTTAAAAGAGTAAAATGAAGTCTTCAGTTGATTCATTTGCTTGTTTAAAAAAAACTACCACTTGCACCACTAAAGACCCAGAAGACTATTTGTCACAGACACTCTCAGCAAGCTGCCATCAAAGGCAGTTCAAGAGAATCACAAAAAACCATTTCTGTACCCTCTGGGAAGGCTTTCAAAGCTGTTTGAAGGATTTAATTGGATTTGTGTGCTTAACACCCCATTGCATGGATTTACAAATCTACTGCCAAAGGTTTTACGTACTATAGAGATGAATATCTTTAAAACAGCAACTGTAATGATCTCACACATAAATATACACAAAGATGTTCTAATAATGCACAGGTTTACAAGTCGGTGGATGCTCCTACCAAGGGAGCGGTTCCTTCCTTGGCAACTGAACAAATGAAAGGATGGAACAAAACAACACAATCAAGTTCAGAAGCAAAATTTCTGTTTTCATTTGTCTACAATTTAGAGCTGTATTTAGTGGTGAAAAGTGCCAGCCTGACAGCTCTGAAGCATAAAGCCAGAACAGCACAAGCACTGGCCAGGCAAGCTGCCTGCCTACTTGTTGCCCTGCCAATATGATACATAATTGAGGAATGTAAAATGGAGATGGAGATATAAATGTTCTTTCTCCAAGTGTTTAATACTGACAGCTTTTCCCCTCTAGCCTTCCTGCACCTCAGGAGCTCAGAAAATGACAAGAAGTGAAAGCAATAAACTCTGACATTGCATTACTCATGGAGTAGCTTTTCCACTCAGAACAGTGGTTGCTCTTCATCACTATGAAGACTAATTGTCTGATTTTGGGAGAATGCCTTGGGAGCAATGCAGGTGCCTGATTTAACAGTGTCATGTAGAGACTGGGAGACAGATAGTGGCCAAATGTCTCATACAACAGCCACAATGTGAGTGGAATTTTTTCATCTTTTCAGATGATGTGGGCCAAACTTGTACCTGTAAACCTCCAAAGAGTTTAGGGCTACAGATGGTAACAGTCCAATTTATGGGAATACTCATGAATGCTGTTCAATTCAATACCACACATATTTTGGAGGTTTTAGTTTTTTTGAAGAAGTTTGCCTTTTTGAATTAAAAAGGGGGGAAAAAAAATCACACTTCTATGAAGAGACAAGACACTACCAGAAGTGTAGGATCTAGTAACAGGAAGAGACACAGAAAATGTGAAGGACCAGTAAGTATCTAAACACAATTAATAAGTGAAGTGATCCTGTCAGCAACAGCACTTTTTGCCATCCAAGCAGTTGATCAGAAACCACTCAGTCCTTCAAACCAGAGGACATCAGAGCAATTGGGAAGTGAAAAGTGAACACATATCTTGAAAGATAATGACTGAGCAGACAGTGGATTTGGAGGAAGGAGAGACGGGAAGCGATCTCCAGGCCCTCCATAAACTTACTGAGCCCCATATTAAAGAGTAAAACCTTGGCTGGTAGTTTTCTAGTTTCTTTACTCCCTTTGGCAGATGTTTGCAGGATTCAAATCTTCTAAGCATTAAGGGCTTTCTTCCAGGTTTTAGCTTAAATATGCTCAAGGCCGGGTAGTACTTGTTTTTCTGGTACTTGCATCTCTAAGATTAGTAACTGTTTCCCTAAATGGTATCTCCCTTTTTGCATGTACAGGAGTTTTTCCTGCTCTTCTTCCACTTGTTTTCTTGGTCTAAACAATTCAAGATCTCCCAACGTCATCAAGCACATCCACCTTCCATCATTTCAGCACTTCCTATAGCTCTCCTCTGCAGTTATCCCAGGTGCAGTTCATCTTTCTTGCATACGGATGACCAGCAGTGCAACCACATCAGATGAGGGGGGTCCTGAAAACACTTTGCCTGATAAATTGCAGTATAGCACTTTCTCATGCCTGCATCACCCTGATGACTCCCAGCTGCTCTTTTGTGCTTTATTTTCATTACCTGTTGGTCCTTTTCCCCCTCCCCAGCTTTTGCCATCTCAAGAACACCCAGTTTACGACTGTAAAATTCTTGCCTGTCTTCTAAATATCTCCTTGGTAGTTTTGGCTTTCTGCCTTTCAATTAAGTAGCTTATCATAAGAGAACAAAGATAGAAGTATGGTTTACTGTTTTTCTCCCTAAGTAAGCAAATACTTAAATTGTTTATTTAAATATCAAAATTAGGAGGAAGGAAAAAAATGACAGATGAATTAGAAATCAAAGTTTAATGTGATGCTTAAACAACTTGAACATTTATGCTGCAGCTGTAGCAGAGGGCTGGTGCTTAGATGTCTGCTCATGATAAAAACAAAAATCCTTCTACTAAGGTTTCCAATTACAAAATAACTTCACCTAAGGGAAGACAAAACGTACATAACCAAACAGTGCCATATGCTTATAGTACCTTTTCAGCACAATAATGTTTCTCTTCTGGCTCTAGGAGCTTACTGGTAAGAAGAATAATTTTAAGGGGTACTTTACAGAATTTATTCTTAAATCAACAGTACTGGGAAAATAGCACACACTTTTGACTTGCAGAATGGCAGGTGATTCGTGACTTTCTCAACAGCTTTTAATATTGACGAAACTTAAAATCATCTCTCTGTTTGGGAATGACATACTTTGTTAGTACTGGGCTGGTTACAGATTCAGCAGGCTGGCTTGTTCATCATAGCCATTTCTCTGTCAGAGGAAACAACAAACTGAGGAAATACTAAGCAGGAAGGAGGCCAGCAGGAACCGGCTTCAACCAACTTTTACCTGGAAGCATAATTGAGCTTCTTTCTGAAAAAGAGAAACTGTGTTTCTATAGGGGTATAGTCTACTCTAAAAGTGTCTTTCTTCCAGCCCTTGCCTCACTAAAAAGCATTTTGGCATGGAGATGATTTTCTTCTGAAGCAAAAATATTCAAGTACTGAGAATCTCACACATTTGTATGGCAAAGCTTTTGCAAACAGCAGTGTTCTTTTCCCTCGCTCCTACACAGGTGAGCCATATAATGAGAAAAACATGCTCAATTACAGCTTTCAGGCTGGATGATCAAGGACACCACTACTGGGTCTGCAGGTCAGAAGCCCAATGCTGGTACCATACCTCAGCTACTTGATATAATGGTAGGTCAGCATAACAGACTTAAATGTGGCATGGCTATTCTTGTAAAGCCAAAAAAAAAGAACAGAAACAGCTTGTGTGGGACTTACAAAAACAAAGTAAGATCTTACTGTCTACATATTAGATTTTCTAAAGTCAAATGTAATACAAAAAAGCAATCAAGACATGATTAGCAACAACCAACAAACAAAACAGATTTCCTGGCATGATTCTAGATTTGTATAAACCCTGTCTTGAGGAAGTTACCTGCCTTGAAGATACAAGTGAATCTTGTGGCATTGTGAATACAGTGGCATTTCAAAGGTAAAAGTGCTTTTGAGGTGGTTCAGCTACATTTCAGTTCATCAGCTAGCATGCAGCCTGGATTTTAAAGAGATTGTACTGGGTAAAAGAGCGAGAGTTGAATTGAACTATCATGTGAAGTCAAGCAGAGAGGAGCACAATAAACATATCTAACATGAACTGGTATATAGTTGACAAAGCAGTAATCCATTTGGCATGGCACACTTGTCATGATGTGGATGCTGCTAACATCTCTGTCAGAAGCTGTCTTTATTTTATAAGATATTCTTATACCCAAGATACTGCCAGCTTTCACTGGCATGAGGATTGGAGCAAGATCCTCATGAATTACTATGCTCATTAATTCAGCCTGCAGGAAAAAAACCAAACTATCACAGGTACCACTAAAGGTCTTTCTTCAGACATAAATGGCTCTATAGATAGAACAATGGATTAGTTTCTAATTAATTCTTAATTTCTCTGTCCCCTCCTCTGACATGTGTTGATTCAAAACCTCTGTGCTCAAATCTCGACATTAGGATAGCCCAGCAGGACCAATGGGGGATGGATGAGAGGTAAATTAAGGCTTGTTACTTTTCTTTGTGTTAAGTCAATAAATATTTAAGGAGAATAGAAATGACTCCTCTAAAAGCAAAAAGAAATGGTCTGAAGGGGCTTGTGATTTTTGTAACTGCTCTCCCATATACCAGAACTATACAGCATGAAACACTTATTTTGATCACATTTCACAGTTCCTTAAGAGCCAGAAGAAATTTCATTACAGGCATTTTCATACCACTATCCTAAGATATACATGCCTCTTTATCCCTTTTCATTCTTTTAAACTTGTTCCATAAAACCATTTTCTACTCTCCAGCTCTCAGTCTCTCTAAGCAGAGAAGTCCTATCTGCTACACACCGACACAAACCAGGTAGGATATGACAAAGTTTCTAATTTTACAACTACTGATGCATCTGAAACTTTAAACGAGCAAAAAACAAAACGAACAAACAAACAAAAAGCCCACCAAAACACAAAAAAACTCCAAGGGAAACAAAAGGAAAAAACACTGGCAGGGAATTTTTTTTTTTTTTTTTTACCTTGACTGCTAGATTCTTAAGCTGCCAGTATTTAACATTAATGTCCCTGTATTTCAAGGTCAAGATTACAGCACTCATGCTATTTATGGATATCAGTGAGAGATTATCTGCTTTTCACCAGTTCAGGCACTCCACCTACACTTCTTCATATATTTCTTTCTTTTTTTTTTTCCAAATGTTTAGAGAAGTTTCAAATTTGCTCCTCCAAGATACAATGGGCAAAACAGCACATTTAAGTGAAATTAAATTCTGCTTCCCTTGATGAAAATACAAAAGTGTTAGCCCCACTGGTACATTAATCTACAAGATTATCATATCCAACTTGAGACACCCATAAATTATTTTTGCAAAGAGTAAATTACTTAAAAGAGTACAGCATTCTATGACAGAGAAACAGAACGCACACAATCAGCACTTTCCTTTTTAACCAGAGAACGGAAGTCTCTGACAGCAGATAAGCTGGAATCGAAACATCAATCAAATCTGGGTCCTACATGGGGTAAGAGTTAGGATGCCTCATATCTTGAAAATAAATCATGCACTATGGAAAATTTTAGACAACTGTTACACAGAGGTTTAACCACAGTTTTGGCAACTTAATCTGGGACACTACAGTACCATGTGTACTAAACAAAACCAAGTATCCCGATTCAGTTTCAATACCACATCCCCAGAGCTACAGCTGAGTACCATGGATGGAAATCTCACCTGCCATCCCAAAGTTTAGCTGTGGCATTTCTTCACTTTTGGTTACTTTCCTTGGGCTCGGTAAGTCTTTTGCAGAGTCTGACGCGATGGCCCATAGCTTCTTCCTGTTCGTAACACTAGATGCCTGGGTTTTCACAGGTTTGTTGGTTGTGGGGCACCACTTATATCCTGGGTTTGCTTTCATAAATGCATCCTTGTACTAGAAAAGAAAACAGAAATTATCAGCCATGACATTATACTCTACACAGAGCAACCAGAGCACACTGCATGTAAGAGGATTTAATACAGTAACTAATCCTTAAATATCTTGATTTTTTAACAGTTTAATCACATGCTTAAAGAGTCCAACCACCAACACAATTTGCTAAGAAGAAGTATTAAGGAGAGTTGTATCTAAAAAAGTGGATTTTCTCTTTCCTCTCCTGAGGGTCTATTACCCAGAGCAGGCTGAAGCTCTGATCCTGCAAACTGCTCCCCAGTGCTTGTATGCTCATGCTCTGAGAAACAGATACTTGAATTCTTTGCAGGTTTACCTTCTAGTTTGAATTAAATAAAAACACACATTTAGCAATAAATGCAGCACAATGCCTTGTCTTGCACTAATTCTTCTCAAACAGTTCTGTATTTTAGAATATGAGTATATGCTTTCTCAAACCAGGCACCAAAAACAAATCACAACCAGTATAATGTCATATTCACTATCTTGTGGTAACACCATACCACTGTTCTTTCCAAAATGTACCATGCTGTATGGCTGCATAAAACAAACTGTGACCATTTAAAACATTCTTTGGCCTTGAGCACCCAGCACACATCTCAGTTGTTTGCTGTGTTTTTGGTATGAGGCAGCAGAACAAAGAAAGCCAACTACACATGGGCAGTGGGGGAAGGGCACGGGAAAGGACCAGGATCTATTTTATTCACAAAACACCAAAATTTTCCAAGAATTTTACCGCCCACATTAAACCAAGATTTTTGAATGTTAACAGTAACAGAAAGACCGCATTTCAGTATTTTACACGTGTTGCTATGCAAGGTTGAGAGCTGCCAAATCAGAGGAACATGCCACACATTCCAGCTGCAGATGTTTGCCTAACAACTGACAGGGGTGTACAGCACTTGCTGCTGTGGGAACCTACCCAGCCAGTACCAGCACTCACCGCAGGGAGAAGGAACCCAACACCCCTTCACGACTGGGTAGCTCCCAGGGGCAGCACAAGACCAAAAGAGTGGCTTTGTGCTTGGAAGCACATGACAGGGCAGATGCAGGAAGTTTGTTCTGTGATTACACATTCCCACAGCTGACATCAGTCCCAGTCATGGCACAGAGAAGCACCTGTGTTTCATGCACATGCATGCACAGAAACATAGAGAGGAAAAAACATCCCTTGGGCATCAAATACAGGAATAGCACTGAAAGCCTTGTCCTCTGCTAGAGCCACTACAGTGTTTTCCCAGCTGAAGAACAGCCTGCCTTGTGGCAGGGTCACCATTGCACATATACTGCTTTCTTTCATTTCTATCTTCACCTTTGAGCTGGCACTTGCTACTTCCAGACCGTAGCAGAGATAAAAACGTTTCGGTTTACAAGAAACACAGCACTGCGTGAACCCCGCTGTGGGAAGTCCTGTATTTATAGAAATGGCTATAAATAATAAAAATCTGCAGGAATCACTGACCCACATACATGCTGTATTTTCTGAACAGGGTGTATGTATTAAATCTGCAAAGTAAGGACTGCGACACTGCTTGCCTCACTCCTTTTCCCTTTCCCTCAGTTTGCTTTGGGAGCTCAGTATACCACAAAAATAGCCTGGCGGAGGGAAGGGATAGGAAGGGGAGGGTAAGGGAAGAGGAGGAAAGGAAATACACGACAAAGCAGCTTCGCCTTCCATTGTTAAAGCCACAGCCCACTCACAAATCATGTTTCCAGCCTGCAGAGTGAAAAGCACAGTCACTAGCAATGAGCTACATAAGCTCTTCATATCAGCAATGCTGCTTTGAGTAATTGAATTATTCTATTGAGTAATTTGACAAACCGACAGGCTGCCCATCAAACGAGAACTAGGACGCAAGCCATTTGTGAGACGAGGCTGCAATAAGCTTTTAATCAGTTTTCAACAAGAGTAATTCAAGTGAGCTGGTCTATTAACATCTTTTTTTTTCTCTGCAAAGCCAAGAAGTGAACATTAACTGCAGTTTCTGAAGGCAAAGGAGCATACTGAGGGAGGACAACTCATTGGAACCATTCAGTTTCAACATATAAGATAAAAAAGAGAAAATTTAAAAAGTCAAACAATGGCCAAGAAGTACTTTATATAAATGTATACAGGAGCCGGATCCAAATCTTAAAAACCCTTTCAGTATTGACTTTTGTGACTACTCGACCAAGGCCTAAAACAAATAGATAGATTTTGCTTACCAGGTCATGAGAAGATAAATTAAATGAGCTACAAACTAACAAGAAAAGGTCAAAGACAACAGTGTAATCTACTGCTTTCCTCCCTTTCACCAACTGTGCAGCAAAGCAACTTAACATAGCCAGTCTAAGCAGATGTCTAAAATGGATTAAAAAAAACCCAAAACACAAGCAAACCAAACCAACCAAAGAAAATTACAAAAAAACCCAACCCAAACATAAGTACCTAACCTGGAATGAAAGACACCATCTTGCTTTCCACAACAAATGGCAGGAACTGCCCAGCAGGGTCGCGTTCTGAAGTTTCAGGTAAGAAATAGAACAAGACGTGTTTGTGGGATTGGTTTGATGCCTTATTTCTGTTTTGTGAAAGCCTGGAGAATGCTATGTTATGCAGCAAGACCAGTACCCCTTCAGAACTGAGGTTAAAACTCCCCAAGCTGCTTTCATCACCAAATAAAAAAAGATTTGCTTCCTCTATTTGTGGTAGGAACAGGAGCTCACAAGTGGATTTCAGATACACCTCAGGCTAGCTGTTAGCACGTATTTAATTTTAAATGTATGCTATTAAATGTCACATGAATCCCAGAGACTTATCATAAAAAAAAATTCCCCAGAAAATACAACACTCCATTTTTCACTCCTGAAGGATGCAGGGTGTGCATTACACATGTTATAGTCCATACGTCAGCCAGTGGACTTGTCAAACTCCAGCCAGCAAGCCAGGACATTTGTCCCCTCCTACCCTCAGGAGCTGCCAAAGCAGTGGCACCACAAGGCCAGCAAGCTCCCAGTCTGGCTGATTGGACCTGAGACACCACTGGCCGAGGACCAGCAAGGAGAAGTGTGCAGCTCGGCCACAATGGCAGCAGGATCACACAATCACTGAGGCTGGGGAAGACCTTGAGATCACTGAGTTCAGCCTACAGACCAACACACCTTGCCAACTACAACATGGCACACAGAGCCATGTCCAGTCTTTCCTTAAACACCTTCAGCTCTGGTGACTCCACCACCTTCTGGGGCAGTCTACTCCAATGTCTAATCACATTTACCAGGCTGCTCCCTACAGAAGACAATCCTGACTGCCTGGATCTTGCTGGTGCAAAGACATATTTAAAAACAAAGTGTCTTCTAGCAAAAGAATAGGGCTTGACCAGTAACAATTTCACCAGATACTTTCTAAGGCAGCTGAACACTCCCAGAAAGTCCTGTAAGAATTAACAGAAGAACACTACCCTTATTACTGAAGTGAATAAAAATGCTGGTGTACATTTATGAGTGGCCAGATTCATTTCTCTCAGTGAAGAAAAATGCTAAAACATACAGCAACACTTCTGGTTCCTTTTCGAGTATGTATCAGCTACTGGGATTATATCCCAGACAGTGAAACTTTCAAATTTAAGGTGATCTAGGAAGTCTGCAGGATAGAAATAGAAAGCCTACTCATAAAGTAACACCAGCAGACATCAAGCTCTGCAGAGGCAGCACCAGGTCTCCAGGGCAGTTGTTGCTACAAGAGACCAGTAACCACAAGAAGGAAGATAGAGGGAGTATGGGGCCAGTTTTTCCAGATAATGAAGGTACCCCAAGGCGCAGACAGGTACACAACAGGATTTTCCACAGTGCCTGAATGAACTAGAGACCTGATGAGCCTCTCAGGGAGTCAGGGACAGACGTCCATCTACTAGGAAACTTCTCCTAATTCCAGCCAGCAAAAAGTTTGGGTGCCTCACTATCTCCCAAAATGATACATCTTGCATACAGCTAAGACATATGTAAGTAAATACACAACTGCCTTTACGTGCATACTGCTGAGGTAATCACTGCTAGTAATAAGCAGGGAAGAAACTGAAAGCTTCTTGCATGGCACATGATCTAACCTAAATGATTTTGGGAGATATAGCAATGAGTAGTAAAAAAAACATTCTAGAGACTGTAGAAGAGCAGGGACTGTAGCCACTGCAGGAGGGACCACTTCTGTAAGGTCCACATGTATCTCTGCAGGAATGGTTTGGATGCTCAGGGTATACAAGACACATTGTAGGGATAGCAGATATGACAGAGGGTTCCCTGGGAGATGTGTGTCCTCCTAGGACAGTGGCTACAGGCTGTGCAGCAGAAGTCAAAGGACACTGAAAAGCTACATTTAAGCAACAGAAGATTACTCACTGTATCTTAAATCTCAGTAAGCTTATACAGGTAGTCAAACAGAAGACAATTGGTACAATGGCATTTTTATTTTCTTTCAAAGATACTCACCTTGATTTTTAAATAAATTCTCTTTAGGAAAAAGCAAAGTACCAACAGGTGGTTCTCACTACAGTTGACATTAATCTCTTTTTGACAGTCTCAGCAATAAGCCTACCTACAGGTGAACCTGTTCAACCTGCTCTATGTGAACCTGCTTGAGCAGTGGGTTGGACAAGACAGTCTCCAGAGGCCCCCCTTTCCAACACCAACCATTCTGTGGTTCTGTGAAAAGCAAGTGTTACATTAAAAGGACCAATCCATGCACACAGAATAGGCTTGTGGGTGAAGAAGGCCCAAATGGATTCAACAGCACATTATAGCTGCAACTACACTGTTTAAAGAATAAAAATTACATGCTATCTCTCTTCTAGTTCTCAGTCTTAGTTCTACTTATAATGATGTAAACTACTTAGATTTATTGTTCTGCTTTGACACTGAATATTCAATTTGTTCTTCATGCCAAAAAAAATCACTACAAGAACAATGATTAATAGTTTCAGATCTGTCACTTCATACAGAAGTTCTGCAATTATTTTCCTTCTTAATGAGCAAGTTTCCTTCAGCAAGACAAAAGGCTATGAAAAACATTCGCATTGGGTTTGTTTCTTCCAAAAATTATTTCTTTATTCTCATCTTTCCTTTCTCTGCATCTGTACTGCCTCTTCTAATTGCCCTTTCTCCAGACATTTAGAGAAATATCACTAATTCGTAAGCGGGAATGCAGAATGAAACTGGAATGGCTGAAAAAAGCTGAGACTCAAATGTTTCTACACTGTGCCACAGATGAGAAACTACAGAGGTCCTACAGACCCTGCTTAAAAAAGGACCTGCCATGCTAAACACTTTGTTTTTCTTGTGGACCTTCCCGTGCTCACATGAGTTACTGAACAATCAGACCTTACAGCCTTACAGCAACAGTAGTAGACATCTTCAGATCCCAGGGCAGGCATGGGTAATATCAATCATTTCACAGTTATCTACACTTCCCACAGTATGCTAGCATACTCAATAAACAAGAGAGGTATTTTTCCTTCTCACTGCTGTTCCTTTATTTTTATTCAGATTGAATGCAAAGGTTACCCACAACTTGTATCATACAGGTAGTCACAGGGATCTGTTTTGGGGTCAGGTTATCAGCCTAAGTAATCGGCTGTATTTTTCTCACTCTACTATCAATAACCACAGGCTTCTTGGCAACAGCTTATCAAGAAAGCTATTTCTTAAAAAGGCTCATTTGAATTTTAAGTTGACATAAAGATACTTTGTGAAATACAGGGATAAATCTCCTTTCCTTGCTCTTGTTAATGGACTTTCCCTGTTTCTTGTTAACGAACTCTGATTAGGCACTGCTCTCTGACTTGGTATTGGGCTCACCAAATCTTGCTTCATCAGAAACTGGTTAATGGGGAATGTACTTCAAGAAACACTAGTAATTTTTTAATTCATTAGCATCAAAGGTAAAAAGGGACTACATTTCTTGACTGTGCCATTGGTTTGGTCCACCAGTAGCTGGCATCACCGACAGAGAATGCACAGCTAAGTATCACTAGTCAGCTGACATGGAACTGTATGTTAGTGTTTACAATGGCCACTATCCTTGTGTTAATGCTTGTACTGCAGAAATTATCAGGCCATACAATTACAAAGTGCATATAATTATAGCAATGACTACCAGAACCAGGTTAGTTTGTATACACAGACCAACTGCTTTCCATTCTGGTCCAAAGGACCAAGTGAATTAAAGCAAGAACAGCAGCTGTTCTGGGTACCATAACCCCATGGTGAACCTGAGGAACAGAGGGAAGAGAAAGATCCCAGAGAAAACATTTAATACACAGAGAAAAAGAAGACAGTACGTAATGAACTCCCTTTACATCCACCATTCAGACAGAACATACCTCCTTGGCCATGTCAGTGTATTTCTGTTTTTCTTTTGGATCTAGAACAGACCACCAATCTGCCAAGATCTTGGTTGCGCCACGATTATCGAGGCGAGGGTGTTCTTTCCGCACAAGAGAGCGGTGGCGTTTGCAGAACAAGAGAAACGCATTCATTGGTCGGCGAGCTCGTTGCTCTGAGGACTCGTCATCTTCAGTCTCATCAGCATCCTGCTCTAAACCATCAGGGCCAAGGAGCGGCACCTGGCAGAACCAAAAGGGAAGGGGCGTAAGCGCAGTTATCCGCATTTCGCACAAAGACTGACACTGCGTGCGCTGCATGGGAGTGAGGGAGAGGCACATGGATGCACACAGCTGTCTCCAAAGGCCATCAGTTCCATCCAGACAGTGCAGAGTTCCACATCAAACCTCCTCACCTGATGGTCCCAGGTTCATTTATGCTCTCTGCAAGACTTAAGGCTGACTTCCAAGTGGAAATATTTCTAAGCTGAGGACCATTCTCTGCTAACAGTCCTAAAGGGGCTGGAGGGACAAGATCCTTCCTACTCTCCTTCTGACAAGGAAATCATCTCAGTGGGATGAGGCAAGCAGAGCTACCTTGGACCTTGATTATTCATGCTTGCAACTACAGAGCACACAAGGAGGAACAGGTAACAGTTAGTTTGCCCATTGTTTCCCCATCTCCTGCTGGTCACTGCTCAGCCTGTGAGCAGCACAGCAGTGCAGCCACCACAAAGCTGCCCAGCAGAGGCAGAGAGCAAATCTCAACAGAGTACACTGCCAAAGGGATGAACCACAGAACCTACTGCATGAGACAGAAAATCACCTCCTAACTGCAATGCTGCTATTTCATACAGTGTTGTGAAAGGACCTGTAAGATCAACAGAAAGCACCATCAGAGAATCACGCTCTTGCTTATCCTCGTCAAGGTCACCCTCTCAGTGTATGTCTCAAGGCAGTCTCCTCAACATTAACCTTTCATTCCTGCCTTAGGAAGGCAACAAGGAAATACAGGTATGAATGCCATCTACATGATGGAATCATCACATCTGCATAAACAGTTCCCACTTCTTGTTACAGAGAATGAGTCTAACTGGAAAAGAGTGAGGTGCCACATGGCACTAAAAAAGGGTAAGATCTGTGTCACTGAACAATACCAAAATACCAAGTGCCAAACCAGAGACAGTGTGCACTCAGTACTCTGGAGGATAAGCTGAATTTCACATGCAAAGATAGCAAAAATTTCAGACAGCTTTTTCCTTCTTTTTCCCTTTTAATCTTTGTAGTTTTAATCTTTAACAAAGAAGAATGAAAACTTTTATTTTTGGTATGCTTTTCAGAGCCACTAGAAGCAGATACCAAGCACAAGCCAACGTCATGTCTAAAAAAAGCAATTAAAAAAAAAAGAACATCAAAAACCTACTTACTTTGAGCAATCAAGATTAGGATGTACAACACATTATTAAAACAAAGCAGATAAAACTATTCCAGTCTACAAAAATTTGTCCACTATTTTCAAGGCATGATTAACAACTCACTCTCTTGTGTCACTACCTGCCTTTACAGCCTTATGGGCACCACATCGCATCACTTTTTATTGGCTGTGTTTCTTCACAGAAGAGAACAAGACAACACAAAATAAAAAACATAGCTAGGGAGACTCTGATCCACCATTAACCATCTTGGGTCAAAGCATCCAATTAAATCTACCTTATCAATATCTTCCTCTTCTTCTTCCTCTTCTTCCTCTTCAGAGAAGTCAAGGAGTTTCTTGGCAAGCAGGGGATGCCACTGAAGACACTTCCTTTTTGGTCGCTTCCCAGTTCCTTCACCTTCTGTTGAGTGATCCTTATTCCTACTACTGCCTTTCATTACTGTGACCTGTCATGCAAAAATATTGATAAATTCACAAAAAACCCTTAGGCATAAATGACCATCAAGCCAGCAGCAAATATATGAGGCACCAATGCAAGACTCTCAGAATTTTCTGGCAAGATATTAGATAGAGATTTATTCCAATTATCAACATAAGCACGGATGTACTTTATGCAATCTTAACACTTCCACGTAATGCCTAGAGTAACTACCAATACACAATTTAAGAGCATGAAGTAAGGATGCCAGCTAATCCAGCTCTCAAATGCACCCCTGTCTGAAGGATGGCAGAGAAATCCCTCACTAGCCAAGTGAGTGAGAGACTCCACAGCTCTCTCATACATATATCCATTGTAGCTTTTCGTATTTTGCCACTGCAAATGTCAATGTCAGGACATCCCTCTTTCTCACAGTGGAACATATCACCAACCACTCACGTGTTAATAATGCACTTATATACACCAGTGTTGATACAGAGCCCCATGACACTGCGAGCTAGGATTTGTCCAGTGCCATTAAAAGGCACGACAGGGAAATTTGAGTCCCTAAGAGAAGTGAATTTTAATACACAGATTTGAAGCAAACAACCAGAGATAGTTTGCTGACATTTCCAAAGTACTGCACAGGAAACAAAAACCATGTGCTGAGCCAAGTGCATGCAGAAAAGACAAATGATATTTAGTTGTGTGTGTGTCCATATCTAAAAAATACCTCAGAATTACCTCTCAGTAAAAATACATGCTTAACACATCCAAAGTATCAATTTAATGGTTGACTTAAGAGATGTGCTACACAACTAAGGGACAAATTAATATATATATATAAACAAATAAAACCAGCACATCACATCAAAGTACTGAAGCGCACAGCAAGTGCTGCTAGCACACAGTCTGGTCCCTTGTAGCCTTCCGTTAGCATAGTGTACTATCAGTGGCAATCCTGACAGGAACATGGCTAGCTTTCCAAGAAAACAACACAAACATCAAAACAAACTGAACTTAAGAGTGGTTAGCCAGCTACACCTTTATAAAGTGAATAAATTTGATGTAGTCTCACAGGAGTTTCTCACCAGCAGGGTAAAGCAGCTGCACTAAGCCCTGGTCCCACAGGCAAAGCCAGAAGAAGATGTGTTGCTGACTCTCAGGGCACAGAAAGAATCAAACCTTCTAACTGCCAAGGCCACAGTACATTTTAGGATGCTGCTTTCCATAAGATGCCTGGTGCAACGCTAATGTTTCAGCCTGCAGGGGCACACAAGAAAGCTGCCACGCTTGCACTTACACTAGCTGCCCGAGCCACTGTGCCACCTCTGGGGCAAATGCCCCACAAGAACCGTCTTGCACAGCTCCAGCCACACTCCTACATTTAGTAAGCATTACTTCTGGTTTTGGATGATCTCTTCCAGGTGTTTCTTGTTGGTTAACTCACTGGCATTTTGGCAATGTGCCCTTGCTAGCATCAGAAATGCGCATAAGCAGCTGCTTCCCCTGCACACTTCAAAAGTGCAGAAAACAGAAGGACCTTCAGACACTGCTTACTGAAGGAACAACTGAAGCCTGAAGGAAGGAGGTTCACAAATTTTAACCTACATTTTAAAATAGCATTTTCCTGGACATATATTGAAGTTTGTCAGATCTTCCCCACCTGTCAGCAGTACCTGCCCCCCTAGTCATTACAGAAACCCTGTAACTTCGTAGTAACTTTGTCCCATTAAGTGACATACTTTGCTATCCACATCTGCCTGGAAAAACGTTTAATTTTTGATTTCGTATCACGCACTTCTCTGTTCATTTTCTGTAACCAACTCCTGTAGGTTACAGGGAACTTTATACAGCACATAACATGCACCATTTCACCTAAATTTTCATCCATGACTTGCAAATCAGATCCAAATATATGAACCACTGGGTCTTTAAAAAAACCCCATTAAAGTGTGGAATTAAGCCACAATCCAGTACCATGAAATGTAAGTTTGAAATTGTTTTTATCCCACTGTGACCTCTGCCATGTACCACACTGCACTGTGCTCTCCATCTGTCTCTTTCTGAAGTGCTGAACCACCATTTGTTTTTGTTTGGGGTATTTTCACATAACAAATCACACACAACCCAACACTGAGTTAATGCTCAAGCAGGAACTTCAGCTCCCGTGGGCAGCAGAGATTCGTTCAGAGATTGCTAAGTGATACAGATCTGCCTATTACTGCAGTCAATAAAGCATGTGGCCTATTTCTGAGCAGGATAAATACACTACAGTACAACAGGGAGAGCTACTCCAGCCCTCACCACTCATTCATGTACATGAGCTAACCATATGGCTTCTGTCTACAATCAGTCTTAGTATGATGAGTACTACTAGTAGCCTTCTACCTTGTTAGTGTGAAACTAAATTAATGTTTGAGAAGTGCTCCACGATCCTTCTTTACAAAGCTCAGCTGAAGTCTCAGGGCTATTTCAACAACAGTATTGCCTTTAGAGCTGGCACCTCTCTGCCTGCTGCCCTTAAAAGGATGAGCAAGGGAAGACTTCACAGGACTTATGACTTGTACATGTGTTCTCCATCACCCCTGAGACCCTGCCTATGCTGTGCTGAGTTTGGCAAGGCAGCACAGAGCCAGGCACTGGTCACCTTGCAAATCCCTAAGGGGCTCTCAGTACCTCACACCTCTTCACCACAGCTGAGCTCACAAATAATTTTTCTTTTCCTTGCATGAAGGCTAGGTATTAAACACTCATCACTAAAATTAATTAATCAAAGCTCATTAGTGCTAAAATAAAAATATACACTCAGCTTCAGGAATCCAAGGGATGTTCATGAGGTTGTTTTAATAAATTGTGAATCATTTTACAACTCAGAGTCAAGTCAAATCCTGGCTGTCAAACAAGCACTGTTTACCACAGAAAAACACAGTCATTCTTTCTGCTTTAGAAAGAATTTCTCTAATGGTCAATAACAAAAACCCTCCTGATTTTGACCCCACTGATGGAAGGACTCAGGCAACAGACAGACTAAAAACTTTATGTTTACAACATGGCCTGAAGTCCCTCACTTCTTAAGTATGTCATACAGTACATACTCTACCCTCTATGCCTGCTCTTCTTTCCTCTAAAATAGGAACTAATTCATAACAAACACATAAAATTATTTTCTTCCCCTTAAGGGTGGGTCATATCCTATTTTTACACACTTTTGTATTTCCAAATCCTCTTTCCCCATATTTATTTATTCAGGTCCCCGTAAGATCTGACCTATATTTCCGGGAGAGAGAGATTTCAGAGACTTCTCAGAGACTTTTTTTTGGTGCACTTTTTGCTGATGCCCCTCTGTCAAATATAGGATTGGCATAATGAAAAATGTTCTAATTCTTTATTACATCACATGTGACTTTTCCTATAAAAATGGATGCCAACATGGTATAGTAAACTTGCTTTCCTCTGGACTGCTTCATCTTTTACTTTACTATGCCCACACTTCATGGGCATTTGTCTCCTAATTGTTGATATATTAACATACATAATTACGAGAGAAACCCATAAAAAATCCAGGCAAATGCAAATTACAGCTAAAATGGACATTTTCCTTTTGGCTAGATGTAGCAGAATGCATGTATGATTAAACGACAGTGGAAGTTTTACTGGTATTATTGACTTCTTGAATGGCAAAACATCAATGGAATCCAGTTACTGGACTCTTAAGATTCTATTTATTTATCTGATTTTTTTCCCCCTTGACACATTGTCAGTAGCACATCAGCCGCTTGTTTTACATGACAGACTAGAAGCTGGCAGACAGAAGCAAGCAAAAATGCCACCTGTTTCTCTTTCAAGGATCCTCAAGTGCTGGCAAGCATCTCTACCAGTATGCTTTTAAAAGAAAGAGCTGCACTTGGACCCTAAAAGAACTAAAGCACACCTTTGAGCTTGGCAACTGAGAAGGTCCATAGGAAGTCACAGAATAAGTCAAATCTTTGAGAGATTTGGGCTTAAAAGTAGAGAAGATACACAACACCTGAAGCGTAAAGTTTGCAGTAAGTGGAATTTATGAACAAGAACACAAAAAAAAGGAGTAATTTCTTCTACAGAAATCAGTAAAAATATAAGGTATCTTTTAAGGCAGATGTAATGGCTTGCAGAAGTTTGCAAAAGTAAAAATTATTAAAGCCAGGCAACAACATTTTACAAGTTACTTCTCAGCTTAAGGATGACAAAAATGAAGTGACAGCCATTAGGTAGAAAGTAGGAATATTTCAACAAGACAAGACAAAGGTATGGACAGCTTTCCTTAAAATAAGCCCCATATGCTTATTGGAAAGAATATAATATATATATTATAATGTCACCAGAGGATACCTGTCACGGCTGACATTCATGATCCATTGACAGCAAGATACCTTCAGGGCGACATTCTACATCTATTTTTAGTGCATATGCAGATCAAACATTACGAAAATATTACATCAGTACAAAAAAATAATTTTCTCGTGTGTGTGTGTGTGCTGGCTGTCCTTCTGGTCCTAGAAACTGTAATCAAAGAATCACACTCTTCTTGGATGTCTTATAAATATGTATAGCTAATAGAGCTTCAGAGGAAAAAAATTTCCTTAAGAAAAGAGGTGGATGAAGGGAAAGAAGAGGAGAAAACATTCAGCTTTTACTGCCTCTGTTTCTATTTTAAATACACAACTGTTTACAGGTCTTCATTTTTTAAAGTGTTCATTAACAACAAGCATTTTATTACATTTGGTAATGCTAAGTTTTGTTTTTCTGCTATCTTCCTCTGTTATTTATAAAACCTTATATACACAGGTGAACAAGTACTAATTCAGCAATACCAATTTTGGGACTATCTCATCAGTGTTGATCTGCCACTGAGAATGCTGCATGTCCTAAATAAGCTACACTTGATAAACTACATCCATAAACACCAAAATCCTTGTAAAGGTCTTCAAAAGCGGCCAAGTGCTCTAAGGCAACCGTTGTAATACAGGTTAGAAAGAAATGCAAAAC